GCGAATTAATTGGTTGTTGTTTGGCCGCCGGCGAACCAACCGGCCGAGCTCCTCCACGGCTCCTCCTCTCCCCCGACGGCTTATAAACAGCGCCCAGGACCACCTCTCCCCCTTTACCTCGCTGCTCGGATGCCATGCCCTCCCCACCGCCGTCGTGCGCTCTGTCCCAAGCACCGCCGCCGCTAGGCGTCAACTGGGACCTCCCCGAGCACCGGCAAGACCACCGCCGTCTTTGTCGTCCCCGTCCACGCCTCCGTTGTGCCTGGTGAGCATCGGAGCTCCATCTCCACCCCATCCTGAGCCTGCCACGCTTTCCTCCTCGTCACCACTCGCCGTTGCCGCCTCCCTATCTCGGTGCGCTCCCGCGCTTGCGCCAGCCTCCCTGCGCAGCGCGCCGCTGCGTCGTGGCCAGGTGGAGAAAGAGCAGGTAGGAGCAAACTTGTCTATTTTAAATTTCTCTCTCCACGCTTTTTTCAAATATTATAAAATAATGCTTCCGGTGTCTTATATCCAATTACACCATTTTTGTGGTGTCCCTTAGCAGAGCCACGATTTTACGGTATCCTTCAACCAATTACACAAATTTTGGATGTCCTCGGGTAAATTTTGCCTTGATTTATTGGCTATAATAAGTGTGCCATAATCGTGGTTTTGAGATCCAGATATTTGTTTGTTTAGAAGGCGCAATATGTGATCTCGACCAATGTTAGGTTGGAGAGTCCAAAAGAAATGGTTACTTGGAAACATTGATAGTGAACATTCAGGACTTGTATTTTGTTTTGATGCCTTTGTAACCTAGTTTAAATGTCAAGAAAGCGCATAAACTTTTCTTTTCTTCTGAACAATATATTGAGTGCCTTTTGTTGTGTACAATGAAAACGGATTGTTCTAGAGTGTTGCCGTGGAGAAAGGGATGAGATGATGTGGTATGCATGATTTGATGAGTTAGGAGGTAGTGCATCCCTATCTGTCCAAGCAAAATGCTCAGCAAGCAGCCAAATGATGTGTTTGTGACCTCTTCAAAAGTTTGTGGATGCAGTGGCACAGGAAAAGTGGAGGCTACGATCGAGTGCTCTAGTTTCTAGTTAGCACGGTCCATCATAATAAACTAATTTGGCGCACATAATGGAATGTTTCACGTCGTGATTGTCGTGTGTGATATATATATAGCGGCCCGTGATAGGAAAATGTGTATATTTGATTAGCAAATTTATTTCCGTGGTGAACTAAATTATCTTACATTATGATTCTATTGAAAAAGATGCTTTTCTGTATGTTACAGTACAGTGCATAAATTTTACACCATACTCCTATATATGTATTAAAGGCATTTTGGTAAAGCTTCAACTCCTATCTTCTTAATTCTACCTTGGGTTTTAAAAATGTACGACGCTGGTGACTTTTCAACCTCTTTTTTAAGATAACTTTTTTTAGAACATTAAGAAAACTGTTAGAACATTATTACAGCAGGGCATGCAAAGCAGTAGTCACTAGCCTCAACAGAGAGAAATATAGTGGTACTAATTAAAGAAACTTCCCTAAAATCTAAGAGAAAATTATCATTAATTTTTAAGATAATCATAACATGAATAAGTATCTATGTTACTCCATACTGATATGTAGCAATATTCGTTAACCAGTACACTATGAAATAAGCTGCTTATCCCTTCTATACAAGAAACGTTGTTCCCATACTGTGACATGTCACAAACACTAAGTAAACAAACAATTTAATATTTTTCATATTTTCACTAATTTTTAAATATATGAATAGTTATATGGCATGTCTAAAAGTCAATAATATCATGCATTTAGAAATAGAGGGAGTATAACAAAGAGTTTGAAGGCTAGAATAAACTGATTTAAGGCTCTAATTTAATAAATAAAATGTGAACAAAATCTCATGTCTAGCAAACCCTATTTTTCCAGCAGCTGCAGCTCACATAATTTTTTTGGAGCTAGCTAGAGATGCCCAGCTTGAAGAGGTTGGAGGAGTCTTATCAATAGGTCATAATGTAGACGTACAAAGCTAGCTAGAATTTGAAGCTGGCATGAAAACATATTAGAAAAAATAGCTATAGTGTTTTCCTGTAACACCTATCTTAAATAATGTGTGTTTGCATAGTTCTTTATGTGTTACTTGATTGTGTTACAAGATAATGTTCTGTAGCAGTGTGGTGCCTAAAGTGGACCTGGCCCCTGGCAGTGATAACATGCATATATTAATTTCTCAACAGTTTAGCTTTTCAAGGTTGAAAACCTCTGAGTGCAGGTATGCAGCGCACAACTTTATTACCATGATTTAAAACATCGATACAATGCCATCAAGTACTAAAGATTGTGCCATCAATGACTTGAAAACTAATGCCATAAAAATAAGCTAGTTGTTATATTTTCTATCTATTTCATAAAAGAAAAGCCTCTTACCTCTAAAAATCCCAACATTTGTATGCAATGGGGGCGGGCCTTTTCTAGAGTTTGAGCAAAACCTATTATGATTGGCCACTGGTATGCTCGCTAGTGCCGGTGAGTCTGTCCATATTTCGGTGTCGGTCAATTAAGTTTAGTTTTACAACTTCAATCATTTTGTTTTCGATCTCGATCAGTTTGGTTCAGTTTTTTGGTGTCCATCAATTTAGTTTAGTTTTACGGCCTCAATCATTTTGTTTTCGATCTCGATTAGTTTGGTTCAGTTTTTCTGTGTCGGTCATTTTTACCCATCTCTATGCCCGGGCACCTGTCCATGGCGGTCCACCCATTGTTTGTAGGGGCACACATGCACATGTGCATATATGGATGGTTCTGCGTTCTTAAATCCAAGTTCTCAACCTTCGCACGCTTCTCAATTTGCTAAACGGTGTGTGTTTTGTAAAAATTTTCTATAGAAATTTGCTTTAAAAAATCATATTAATCCATTTCTTAAAGTTTTCTTAAGCTAATAATTAATTAATCACATACTAATCTATTGCTCCGTTTTCCGTGTCGGTGGTGAGGGTTCCCAACCCTTACCTAAAAACACAGCTTAAGTTGTGTTTGGGGTCGAACATACACTCTCAAAAAATCATGTAATTTTTAATTGAATTTTGGCTAGTTAGTTTTTATCCAATGGGTTACATAGTCAAGCCATTTGAAAATTTATATAGATACAGAGTTGTACATATGCATGTTTTCTTAATGCATAATATATAGATGGACCACCAAAATTAACCGTTTAATTTACAAGATATAGCAACATAAAGTGTTATTTTATTATGAGATACATCCTATATTAACCAATTAATTTCTACATTAAAGTAAATCAGCCAACCATTCTGACCAACACTACCCTCAACACACCACCTTTTTCCTGCAGTTTTCTTACAAACTCATCATGCTGCTTTATTTTTCAGCTATAGGGAGGTGAGGTCCTTCCTAAGTTCCTAGCTAGTGACGGCAATAATACACAATCCTCCGCCGAGTTGTGGGGGCAACAAGATCCTGCTGCCTCTCTCTCTCTCATGGTCATGGTCTGTGCAGCTACATTGCCACCATTCCTTAACACTACAGAGCTCATGATTTGAGCCAATAAGCAATAAGTAGAGAATCTTTTGTTGTATAGGACATCTGGGAGCTGGAGAGGCATTTGAGGGAGGGAGGAGGATATCTCTTGATTGTCATCTTCCCCCCTCTTTCTTCCCTTCTTATAACCTTCCTCAACTCATGGAGGCCTAACCCTCCTCTCATTCTTCTTCAACAACAACAACCTCTTTCTTTCCACTCTCTCTCTCTCTCTCTCTCTCTCTCTCTCTCTCTCTCTCTCTCTCTCTATCTATCTATCTTGACAAAGGAAGAGTTTCCAAGAACCCTGAATCGATCATCTGGAGAAAGATTGCTAAACTCTCAGATAGCTGCATGTATGAGAGCTTCCTTATCAAGGTGATTTCTCTCTCTCTCTCTCCCTCTTGAGGCTCTGATTACTGACTCTGATCATCATTTGCATGGATCCATGCATGATGATTTCTTCAGAAATTCATTAAACTGTATAAGCATATATGCTGAGCATCAAGCTTTATATTGCAGTTCATTCTTTCGATGCCTTGTGTCACAAGGGAATTTCTCAGTTCTTCCATCCTAATTTCTAGTGAATCATATATGTTTTTTTTAAAAAAAAATTGTTGTGGTTTGTTTTATTTTTATTGGAGCCTTTATTGTGCATGGGCACAATCCAAGGCACATGCTGCTTTCTTTTGGTCATTTTGAGATATATAAAAAAAATGATCAAGGGGATTTGTACTTCACACCCATACTGCAAAAAGTGCAATCATGTTTACTTATATCACTCACATCTAGTAACTACCTCCTTTCTTGTGTTTGTGTTTTTTTGCATATATTTCCTTTTTCATTCATGGAAAACGTTTTTCTCTTTGTACTTCTTTGCTCATCAACAATTAGCTATAAATACATTGAATACCAGTTGTACTAATTTTGCAAGGCACCAGCTGCAAACATTAAATCCCTGTGTTGCATGGTCCTTTTCCATCATGCAATTCTCTTCCAGGGCACCAACCCCCACTCTTCATTGAATCTGGCACATGCTGTGCATTTCATGCTAGCTGCACTTGATGCTTCAGTCCACATCCCACTTAGCTAGTGAGTTTCATTCAGAATTATGGGAAACCGAATAAGCGCGTCGCAGTCTGAAAACTCGCAACTACTATTCACATATGGATTTTTGTTTTAAAAGAAACAGAGCCAGAGAAGAATTTTGTCCATCAATATCATCAATTATATATCAAACTCAATATATATAGGTGCTGATCATGGCAAGCCTGCATTTGAACACTGAGGCCAGCCTACATAAATGGACAGAGGGATGAGGCCAAGTTGGCAACATCTTGTGCAGAAAAAGGAGAACAGCAAAAGGAGAGGAAGAGCAAGTAACAAAGTCATGCCTATATGATGGGGCCTTGTGCTGCTGCTGCTGCTTGAGGTGAGCACTGTTCCATCTGAAAGCAGCACAGAGCATTAGTGCAATCACCACTGTTTGTTTGTTATCCTACCTTACCTTTTATTTTTTGGAGGCACACACACACACCTCTCTCTCTATGATTCTCTCCCTCTCTCTGAAAACTGAAGAGTATGTTTATGCTACAAGCTGGAGTTTGGTGCATGATGAGGATACAAGGGACATGAGTTGCATGGAGGCCCCATATGTCTTCCTTAATGCCTTGATGCTTTGGGCATTCAAGAAAAATGCTAGGCACACAAGCACAAAACTAGCAGAAAAATCCACTTCTTTTGGATTATTCCTACACTAGAAAAGTTTAAAAAGTTATCTTGGATTTACTTATTTATTCTCCGCTCTTCCTTGGAAAATTTTGATTACCTTATCCTGGATTTCTTCATTGCTTCCTTAAAAAAGATGCCTCTAATGAGGCAAGATCCAACTCTACTACATTTTCTTTGTCACTAATGTGGCCAGCACCCTGTCTTTGTATTGGATGATGAGTGTGTGTGTGGTTTGGGCACAAGTCACACCAACACACACCATCAACAAAAAGGACCTAGCTATGCTAAGCTAGAGTGATCCTAATCAAATCAACAGGACCCCTAAAATTCCACCCAAGTGCTTGTGCTATGTGTGACCCTAACTGTGAAGTCATGCTTGCATATAACACCAAGGAAATGCATACAAAAAACACACCAATAATATGTACACTTTTTTCTTATCAGGGATACTCTCTGAAGGTGAAAGGCCATAGAGAGAAAGAGAGAGAGAGAGAGAGAGCTAGTATGGGGCTCACAGAAAGTTAGTAGCTATGAACAGTGAACACACACACTCACAAAATTGAAGGTGTGGTCCTGAAAGCTCCTCTCTTCCCTTGGAGGTTTATATATATATATATATTAGCAAGGCTGATTGTGCCTTTTCTCTAAAGAGAAGAGAAGGGCCACATCTTATTAGTCCCCCTCACATTTGCCATTAGCTTAAGCTTCAGCTTTTTAGCTGGCAGATCTTAAGGCTTCAGAATTTCTCTTTAATTCATCAAGGTATGGATCCACTTGAGCATCATACATTGCATTTGTTTTGCCTGGATGGAGCTTTTCTTGAGTTTTAAATGTTTTACCAATCTATCATTGTTTCGATGGCATGCTTTTGCCCCTGGTTTTGATGTTTCTTAGAATCAAGCTCCTGCAATTTCATCAGCACTTTCTGGTTTTTTTGTCAAATACTTGCTTGTTCTGTTCGAGCAATGGTTCTGAAGAATAACCAGCCAACAGCTTGCTAGCTTGGTGACTGGGATTATTGCTGGAAATACTAGATAAAAGATCAAAACAGTTTATCTAGTTCTGTTCTGGGATTATTGATCGACCAAGTTATTGGAAATTTATGCCATGTTATGAAATTCTTGATGAAATACCCAACTTGGTGATTTTGCTCTGTTTTGCTGGAAATTAGACAGAACCAGCAAGGTTTTTGTCAGTTTCAGTTTCAGTAAAGAAAAATGTCACTGTTTATGTTCACCTCAGATGTAGTTCATTGAACCTGCAGCAATATTCAGTTATATTGTTTCTTAAGATAGTGATGAGTTCAGTCAATTAACCAGAGCATCCTTTGCAGGATATCAAGAAGTTCTTCACCATGAAGTACATGAAGCTTGGGACAAAGCCTGACACATTCTACACCGAAGAAGCTGTCAGGTAAATGTCGTGCATTCGTATTTTCGTTTGTCGTTTCAATGAATATTTGTAACTATTTTGACTTTGTTGCACTACAGGTCTGTACTGTCAGACGTACCTGCTGATCTCATCATACATGTCAACAACACAAAGTATCAGCTACATAAGGTGCTGGTTTTGTTCATTGATGCAAAATTATCTTTATTACCACTTTTGAACCATTTCCTATATTCCTCGCAGTGCTGATGAAATTTCCTATCCTTAACTTTTAATGATATAAGATATACATATTGATCACAGACTTTTCTTCTAGAAAACAGTATTTGAATTCAATAGTCAATCAAAAATACCTTGGCCACCTAATCCAATCTGAGGAGCATCTCCCCTGAAAAGATTTTGTTCCATACTGAAAGCCAAAGTTGATTGAAAAGATACTCTTGGCCATCAACTCCATTTGCACCCTTATCAAGGTATTCAAATCTGATAGCCACACCACCTTTGCGAATCACTGATTTATTAAGCATTGGGCATACATATGAAACATAGAATATGATAGGAGGCGCTGAATCAGATCCATCTTTCTCTGATAGTTTAACATGTCACATGTTCCCCAATGCTACATTACATTGTTTAAGCAATGTCACAGGCCTAATGATGATGTGAAGTTGTGAACTAAGGCAACTTTACCAAGTCGCGGCTCGCAATGATTAGCACACATCAAAGCCTAATGATGGCCTCAAACCAACTCTATCTTTGTTTAGTCATCCTTTCTGAAATGACGAACCGACATTGGTTTAGGTTCATAGGCCTGAAGATCTGCTTTGCCAAGATTGTCATGGTATAAGCATCAAATGAGGCATTAAAAATTACTTGCTATGCCCTTTTCTGATCCACGCCTCAAAAGCTTCTTCTGAACTTCACAAAATCCCGGTTAGGAAAGTTGCGGGAATAGAATGCAAAGTTCTCTTTAAGTTCAGTCCCGTGAATGCCACTGATGGAAATAGTTTAATGGAAAAGATCTAAAGTGAACAAGTGGTAAAATTGAAGTTCTTTTAAATAAAACTGAAGATTAAGCTGTTATTTAAGATTTTTGCAGTTTGGACTATGCTCCTCCTTCAGATCCTCTCATGATTCATGATTTTGAAAAGATTATAGGACAAATGTACAAAACTGGCTTCCTGATTTATTTTTCCATGACCAAGCTTCTGATTCAATTATGTGCATTTTGACATTAAAGAAAACAAAACTGGGAGAAACTATTTTGCATGGACACAAGTGTTACAGCATTTATGCTTTCATAAAAAGGATGTTGCTTTTAGGTTGGAAAATGAAGACAATCTGTGATTAAGTTGCTCGGAATGCAGAGTAAATCTGAATTGTTGTACTTTCTTTTCTCAAAATTACTTGCAGCTAAAATTCTGTTCCCACTCTGAAAATGCTGATACAGAAGGCACTGGTTGCCATCCGTATTATCAAGTATGCAAGCAATTTTTTAGAGAAGAGAACAATCAAAAGTTAAAGTGCTCTTGCTAATTTCATTTCCTATTTGCATCAATTTCTGGTTAAAACCTAGAACAATTCCCTGTAAGCAATTTCAGTACCATAACAGAAGTTCAGACTTCAGAGTAAACTGAAGTTAAAAGCAAATAATCATAGTTTAAGGACATAAATCTGGTAGCAATTAGACTATCAAAGCCTTTATCATAGCAAAACTGCATCTGTATTGCCTACAGTTCAGACTGAATATTGTTTTGCTGCCAATTCAAAATATACACATGTCCCAAAAAATATCACAAACTTACAACAAAGGTTTTAGCACATAACTAGAGGATTCCATTTGAAGGAAATGAAGAACAGAAATACAAACAAATAGGCCAGAAAATTAAAATTTGGTGAGTATTTATCTTTTCTGTTTTCCAATGTCCAACCTGTTGATTGATTTCAGGTGTTTTTACCCTGTAGTTCCCCCTCCTCCTCAAGTGCGGCCTCCTGCAGCGCCTCTGCTCCGATGACGACGGCGTCGACGGCGTCGATGCGGCGCCGGTGCCGGTGGCGCTGCACGACATCCCCGGCGGCGAGGAGGCGTTCGAGCTGTGCGCCAAGTTCTGCTACGGCATCTCCATCAACATCGGCGCGGGAAACTTCGTGGCGGCGGCGCTGGCGGCGAGATTCCTCCGGATGACGGAGGCGGTGGCCAAGGGGAACCTCGTCGCCAAGCTCGACTCCTTCTTCGACTCGTGCATCCTCCAGGGCTGGAAGGACCCCATCGCCGCCCTCACGGCCGCGTGGCGGATCTCCGGCTGGTCCGAGAGCCGCATCGTCCAGCCCTGCGTCGACGCCATCGTCGAGAAGATCCTCACGCCCCCCTCCAAGGTAGATGCTTTGTCCTTCGCGCCAAATTTTGATTTTGAAAGCCATTTGAAGTTTTTTTTTTCCCGTTTCTTTCTTGATTTTGGCGCGGAAACGGTTGATGACCGCAGATTATAGATGAATACAAGTGAAATTTACACAAATTTTGCCAAAAATTAAAATTCATTTGGCTTTTTAAACACCATGAAATTTTAAAATAAAACGTTGTCATACATTTTAAAACCTAAAACCATGTAACCATCAAGCCGGTTTTGTGCATTGTAGAGAAAGTAGTGATGTGGCAATGGCGACAAATTCACTACACCAACCACTTTCTAGTAATATGTTTCTATATTGTACCAATCACGCTCATATAAATAAGGATATAGTATAATTATGATTAGGAAATAAAACATTAGATTCGATAGTTATGTACGCTGCGCGCTAAGGTAGAAGTAAATAAGGATATAGTATAAGTATGATTAGGAAATAAAACATTAGATTCGATAGTTATGTACGCTGCGCGCTAAGGTAGAAGTAAATAAGGATATAGTATAAGTATGATTAGGAAATAAAACATTAGATTCGATAGTTATGTACGCTGCGCGCTAAGATAGAAGACAGGAGGAGGATGATTCCACTTTTATATAGTAATAACAGAGAAAAGTATAAATAACAGTTTATTAGATCGTTTTTAAATACAAATCGAGCCTGACCTAATTCGTAGCAGCCGAACCCAGTTTTATTTCTTTTGAGATATGAACCGAATTTAGCTCGTATTTGACGAAATTTCTGTGAAAAATTCATAAATGAGCGTAAATATTTGTGCAGGTTACGTGGTCGTACACCTACACGAGGCCTGGGTACGCAAAGAAGGCCCACCAGTCAGTGCCCAAGGACTGGTGGACGGAGGACGTGTCGGAGCTGGACATCGACGTCTTCCGCTCCCTCCTCTCCACCGTCTGCGCCGCCCGCCTCCTCCCGCCGCCGCTCATCGGCGAGGCCCTCCACGTCTACGCCTGCAAGCACCTGCCTGACCCGCTCAACCACGCCGCCGCCGCCGCCACCGCCAACGGCCAGAGCTCTGAGCTGGAGACGGCGGCGGCGAAGCAGCGTCGCGTGCTGGAGACCATCGTCACCATGATCCCCGGCGACGCCGGCGCGGTCACCGGCCGCTTCCTGCTCCGGCTGCTCCGCGTGGCGAGCTACGTCGGCGCGTCGCCGTCGACGCGCGCGCAGCTGGTCCGGCAGGCCGGGGCGCAGCTCGACGAGGCGAGGGCGGTGGACCTGCTCGTCCCGATGCCGTCGTCGTCGGACCCGCCGGCGTACGACGTCGGCGCCGCGGAGGCCGTGCTCGAGCACTTCCTGGCGCTGTTCCAGCGGCCGGCGCCGCCCGACGAGCGGCGGCGGATGAGCGCCGCCATGGAGAAGGTGGCCAGGACGTTCGACGAGTACCTCCGCGCCGTCGCGCTCCACGCCGACTTCCCCGTCGGCAAGTTCGTCGACCTCGCCGAGTGCTTGCCGGACATCGCCCGCAACGACCACGACGGCCTCTACCACGCCATTGACACCTATCTCAAGGTCACAGAATCAATCACACCGTCAAAATACCAGCTAAATTAATTGATCATTCGAGCTGATAAGATCAACAATGGCGTATGCAGGAGCACCCGGAGCTGAGCAAGGCGGACAAGAAGCGGCTATGCCGGATGATCGACTGCCGGAAGCTGTCGCCGGACGTGCGGGCGCAGGCGATCTCCAACGACCGGATGCCGCTGCGCACCATCGTGCAGCTGCTCTTCGTCGAGCAGGAGAGGGCCATGGGCGGCGGCGGCGCAAGCGGCAGCAACAGCGCCGTCGCGCCCGACGCCATCGCAATGCTCGCCGCAAGAAAGGAGAAGGAGGACGAGCCGCCGGCGCCGGCCGCTGACCACAAGTCGGACGTGCACCGGCCACGCGGCGACCACGGCGAACGCGCCCGGGCGGACGGCGCGGCGATGACGAGGTCGCTCTCGGCGTCCACCACCAAGACGGCCGGCGCTGCCGCGCCGAGGACGGCGGAGAGTAGGGGGAGCAGGATGAGGAACAAGTAAATCAATGGTGGTCGCCCATGAATGGATGACATTCTTGTTTCTTCTGATCCCTTGCTTGAAATTTGTTGATACTTGTGATTCTTGATTTTTTTTTCTTTTGGTATTCTTTTTCTATTTTCTTCTTCATTTTGATTTCAGTGCATCCCATTTTTGGTGGGAGATGTGAGGGCCATATTGTTGAAAGAGGGAAGAGAATGAGGGGTAGATTTTGTAATTAAATGGATGGGGGATAATAAGAGGCTATAATCATACGACCTAGCATAGCTCACCAATCAAGAAAAATGTCCATCTTCATCATTCATTCCACATATGTATCTACTGTTACCTTCATCCAAATATTCCCTTGTGCTCTTTGGACTTAGAGGATAATATATCTCTTAATATGTTTTCAAAAAAAATTAAAGATTGTGATATAATTATTCAGCAAATGAACTTAAGATTATCATATTTATATTCATAGTAGATAATGTTTATAGTGAAAAATCAAAGATTCAATACATTGGTTCGTCCCAGATTCAATACTTCAAAGAGTGGATTTTAAACTTTTGAGGGGACGTAAGCTCATTATTTATATGCCACTCAAAAAATTATGAATATATCACTTCACAAAAATGCAAGTTCATTCTAACCAACAAACACGAAAATGCTTCGTATCTGGCGTCTGGTCCGACGCCAAATATCGGACGACTCGTCCTTATCCAAAAGTTACTCTGTAACTACCTCCTCCTCCTCCCCCCCCCCACCACACACACACACACACTCCTATCTCTCTTCTCTTTTTTTTTCCCCTTGCGGCAGAGGCAAGGTGCTAGACGAGGCTGGCGACGGGCTGGTCAGCATCCTGCTCGTGGCGGCGCTATTCATCCTGCTCGTCGCGGACGGTGCGGCGGCGTTGTTCCTGCTCTACCGGCCGCAGGCGCCAGCCATCGCCATGATGGCCGTGCAGCTCCCCTCCTTCGCCTCATGCAACGGCACCGTCTCTGACTTTGCCGTCACCTCCTCCGCTGCTTCCTCCTCCCCTGTGCAGACCATCACTGTCCCCGCCTCCGGTCCGTCCCCAGCGGCAGTGCTGCAGCCGGCCCGTCCCTGGCGGCGGTGGGCGCGGTGGCGCTGCAGCAAGAACAGCCGCAGCAGCAGCAGCAGCAGGTGGCGGCACCGCCGGTGATGGAGGTGGACTCGCCGGTGACCGGAGATGAAGAAGATGGAGGTGGGTTTGTTTAGTTGGAGTTTAGGATATTGCATCCTACTGTTTTAGCTTGTTACACTCTGTTGCATTAAGGTGTTTCATTTTGTTTTGATTTGATGTAGCAATCTATTGTATGTGTTTGTTGCACTCTATTTTATTCGTGTGTTTCATCCTTGTTTTATCGGATGTTGCACATGATGTACGATGTTTTAGCTTGTTGCACTCTGTTGTATTAAGGTGTTTCATTTTGTTTTGATTTGATGTTACATTGCAATATATTGTATATGTTTGTTGCACTCTATTGTATTCGTGTGTTTCATCCTTGTTTTATCGGATGTTGCACATGATGTACGATGTGTTTTCTTGGATGTTGCAGAATTGAGTCTTGATGATGCAAGTAGTGTTTTTTCACTGTTTCATCTGATTGAAACATTTTTTTACCAATTGGTGAATCATTTCTCATCGAGTAATGAAGCATCTGTAACATTTTCTAGTGAAACATTATTTAATGAGTGATGAAATATCTGAAACATTTTTTTATATATGATGAAACATTGTCCGATGTATAGCAATTGCAAGTTAGAATTTAACTTCTACAAGTGAAAAAAATAACTATAGCTATTTCATTGCAACATGTAGAAGTTAAATATAACCTTTTATGTTTTTGAGTGATTAATCACATATTAATCTATCTTATTGATTTTTTTAATTTTTTAAATAAGATTTTTTTAATTTTTTAATAACTATTTAAATAACATGCAAACAACGAGGGAACGTTCTCTTCAGAGCAGTTTCCACATATTGAACTAGAGTTCAGAAAAAAAAAAGGTGTATATGAGAAGTGAGCAGGGAGCTCAGTCAAAGAAAGTACAACAAAATGTAGCACTTGAAAATGCCATATATATTTCACACTTTTCCCCCCTAAGGAAGTAAGGAACCCATTGTCATTCATGAAAAAACCACTATATCATGTCGGCATTCAACAATGTACAGTTACTGGTTCCGTCTTTTCATAACAATGGGCTTAAAATTCCCCCAAATCAACCCCACCTATGATACAACATATCCAGATCATCTGAGTGACTCATCAAATCTCCTTCACAACAGTGAAAAGAAAAATATACCCTCATTTCCCTCGCAAAACTGGCCTTAGTGTCAAGAGCAATGCTTTGCAGTTTCCAACCATAAACCCCAAAACACGATCTGCTATTATAAACTAATGTATCCAACTTCATATCTAAAATACACTTCTCATTTGTTAGTCCCTATGAATGCTTCCGATGTTTTCTAGAAATAACATCACCTCTTACCGTACTTCTTGTTTCAATAATTCTGGAAGCAAAGCAGATGAAACCGATGATTGCCAATGCATAGAGCGCCCTATAAGGAGCCAGAGCCATTGAGCTAACAAATGAATAATATCCAGCTACAAGGTAGAGAAAGCTTAGTCCAACATCTCGCCCTCTCCTTCCAGGTAGCTTGAAAGATATACAGCTCACATTTGGTGGTGATCCGAAAAGTCCATGCAGAATAGTGCCAACACAAAGTACTGAATCCACAAACCATGGAAAATTTTGACCCATTCCGATTCTCTGCAGAAAAATAATATGATGCGATTTAAATCGACATTCAATAAGCTGCACAGCATAATTTGCTGAGCTGCGCATCCTATGAATGATTTAATAGAATGTAGGAAGAACCAAAGGACAGATCAACAAAAAATATACTAGTTCAGAGATAAACAGTTGGCAGGGTTTGATGCCGCGATGTTAGAGTACATTGATTTCATTGGGATATCCTGTAGCAGCTATAATCTGAAAAACTATACACTACTCAATTTATAGCCCATAAATCCAATCAAAGCCTGATCTTAACTACAGGTGAAAAGTTGCACTTAGTTAACGAGCAATACAAATCGACATCATATTTCTAACCACACAATCTTATTTTTAGGACATTTATGCCATATCAAGGCCTTCCAGTTCCTGACAAAATGAAATGATTCTAAATGCATTGCATTTCTATTCCACAAAAGTCAAAAACACATTATTCTAAAATATTCTTAAATAGATGAGACAAATTTCACCCTCCGTAGTTTATTAAATTTTGTTTGCATGGCTGAAGTGCCATGGGAGCAGTGTAGTTGCTTTTCTATAGTAATGAGTCAAAATATCACTGGCTCATCAATAATGTTAGTCCTGGAAATGGTAGACCAATACTGTCTACTGTCTATCTTGCCAAAACACATGGACACAATAAGACCGTTTCAATCTAGATAGCCTACTCATGCATATAGGCAAACTGATTTGAGAAAGACTGGATAATAGCTCTAGCTCTAGCTCCATCGAGATGACCGACAAAATTAGTATGAGGAAGCATATTTTACATATCTCACTCCACATTGGCAGGGCAAAAGTTAATAAAAACTACGAGTAACTAGAAATTTTCCAAATGATATTCAGGTGTGTAAGAACAAACCTGTAGCCAAGCAACAAGAGAAGGTGCAAACATTAGAGTGGCAAGAAGGTGCAAGATCATGATCCCATGCCGACAGTCAAATACTTCCAATTGGCAGTCAGTAAAACTTTTAACAGATGTTGGGCTATCATCCATCGGCAGAAGTTGCTCGAGGCCATCTTGTTTATTTTCGGGCAGAATAATATTATCACCCATGGATTTATACAAATCCTTTTTCTGAGTGATACTGCGAAATGAAGCTGCTAAGAAACTGACACAAGATCAAAACATTAGTGTAGTAGTTGAATGATTGCAATTATGTACAAAATAGATGTACATGAGCATCCATTTGTATATTAGAGATACTACCGAGAAATGCAAGAAATTCCTCCTAGAAAATGTTCTTGTAAACATGCAATTTCAAAAGGCACAGGGAAAACATATCTATAGAGGATTTTAGTAACAATAACATGTGAAATATCAGTAAAATTAAATTGTACCTGCAAAGGGTGGAGTGTGCATGGAAGGCATGTGAGAGAAGTAATACACCAAGACCAATTGCTGGATGAACTAAGCAGACAAGTGGTATTGTAGCAAATGCTACAATTATACTTGGATTGTTTTTAATTATCTGCACAATCTTTTCCAAGGGCACATCAGCATAGTCTGAATATGATACAAGAAAACTAAACCATGTATGAAGGTCTTGATATAATCTTTACTTTCAGAAGCAATTTACCTTTAGCGACTGAAATGGTAATGAGAGAGTGAGGAAGTGGCGAACAATCATTGATTGAGTACCATCCTCCCATGATTGCCAGCTGTAGATCATACAAAATAACAACAGAAAAATAATATTTGGTCAGTTTAACCACAGATTAGTTTCACAACTATATACACTTTTTTTAATTTGACACTAGAGTATCACTTATGAAGAATTAATAAAGCAAAACATGGATTCCACAAAAATGTTTCTAAAGTTCGTTTCATGAAAACCATCTTTTTTAAAGATTACAACCATGGAAAAGAAAGGATAAATTGGTTCTAAATAAGCATGCGTTCCCTCAATTTCACTACGAACTACATGCAAAAGTCTAGTTTTTGTCCCTCGATTACTGCCTTAGTCTAATTTTCGTCCCTCGACTACAATACCGGACAACTCATGTCCCTCATCTCTCAAAACCAGTTATTTCCATCCCTTGCCTCCTTAGAACCCTGGTTTTGTCCACGTGGAAATATTACTAAGCATTACTGAGGTGGAATCATGCTGAATCAGCCAGGCCCATTAAGCTCTGCACCAAGCCCCCCCCCCCCTCTCTCTCTCCCTTCTCTATCATGCTGTCCCTCCCCTGTTCTAGTTCTCCAAACTCCCCATTTTCAATCCCGCATCTAGTGAGCTCCCACCATCCATGGCAAGCTCCTCGAGCTCAAGGTCCCCTCGTTTGAAGGCTGCGGGCTTCTAGTGTCCCTCACCTGCGGGCTTTTGCTTGCTAGTTAATGATTCCATACAGAGAGGGATTTGGTGCTCTTTGGATTGATTATGATTTCCCTTTTCACCCTTGAAATTTAAGCCTGGTCATTGCAATAAAAATGCTGGCATCTGCATTGCTTGTGTTCTGCTGTTTCTTGCTAATTTGTTGATTGTGTTCCTCCCGAGCAAAAAAGAAAAAGAAAAAAAATAAAATAAAGAAAATAAACTGAAGAACTAAGCTTTTGTTCTGCCTCCACGTCCCTGACTTGGTCGTGGGCGTCAGCCACACATTATTTGGGTAAGATATGGGCATCGTAGTGGGGATTTGATGCTTGAGCTAGGGATTTGGAGATCTGACCAGTGGTTGCTAGGTTGGGGCAGGAGCAAGAGCGGGAGGGAGAGAGAACTAGAAAAAGAGTAAGAGAGTGGTCAGTACTGATTGAGCATGATTTAATCCCAATCATTTGAGTAGCATGTCCATGTGGCCAAAACCAGGTTCAAATGAGATGAAGGATGGATATGGACCGGTTTTGAGAGATGAGGGACATAAGTCGTCCGGTTCCGTAGTTGAGAAGAAAATTAGACCATGGCAATGGTTGAGGGACCAAAACTAGACCATTTCCTAACTACATTCTCAATTTCCTCAACTAGTCAAGTCACAAACAATTTGAAATGGCACTTCACAAGAAACAAAGAAGACAAACATAGTGAAATAGGGAATTTTAAACAGGCAATGATGATAGACCCATCAGAAGACTAAATCCTACTTGAAATCATGCACATTTCCCAATTGGACCATACAATGCCCCTAATTATAAGGCACACTACAATTCATTTACTTTAACAGAATTAAAGGGCATGTACTGAAAATATTGCAATATTTGCACACATGATTTCAGCAATGGACTTAATAGTGTCAAAATACGCATCCCACGACAATAGACTTTTAGGAAATTATTGTGGAATGGAGAAGTAGAACCTACTCCTTTGCCCAACAATCCTAGGAAATTAAAATGTTCATCTTTGTGTTGTTCATAAATGTTCTTGTAGTTAATTGAAAAGGAAAATAGTACACCAATAAGACAATAATACTAACAGCAATACTAATTTAGGACACATGAATCAGCACACTCCACAACAGTAGTGTCAAAAGGATGATGCGGAGGACTGCTATATTGTTACCCGACAACAATCATCAAAATAAAGGTAATGTATTTAAGTTAGAAGCAAGGAACTCCAATGATCATCAAATGAACCATCTCCATCACAAAGATAAATAGAATTTTAAGATTCCTAGGTATTTCACAGTACCAGTCAAATCGTCAGTGACTGCATCCTACACAAAAAAACATTACTCAATAAAAAAGGGTACTTAGTGTACTAACCGCCTCTTGATGAAGACATGAAGAATAGCAGCGACATAAAGAATCAATTTTGAACTTAGTATCAATAAAATTGTGAAGCCATTAGCAACTATGTAGCACATCATGGTAACTAGCAGGAAGGTTCCAAGTGGAGGATTTTGCTCTCTGGTGAAAACAAGAAAGGCAAGAAAAAGAAGAACTGGTATGAAGCAAAGGAACATGAATGCTCTAGGCAGCCTCAGATTAGACTCTATAGCTGACAAAACAGACGGCACAGAAGAATCATGTTCCCATGCTGATGATTGCCGCATCAGGCCGAAAAACATTACAGCAATCATGAAACCAAGAATCTGCAAAATGTAAAAAATGAAACAGTTCGATAAGTTATCTGGCCAAGCAATTCATGTAAATAAGCAGGCATCCGGGTGACCATGACATCCTCTGAATATGAATCAAATTCAGCAATAGGGACAGTGCCATAATTATGCATATATGCGCAAAAAGATTACCTGTGATGAGTACAGCAAAAAGAATCTGCTTGCTGCAGCACTAAGTGAAACACGAAGACTCACTTCATATGAGCAATGTGGATCAGCCTACAATAATAGGAAGCCACCTAATGTAGTAAGTACACAAGTTGAGAAAGTATTCTTTAGTTAACAGCAGATAGAAATAATTTGATGGATAGCTCAGTGACACTTGAAAAATGGATAATGTGCAAATGGACACCCTAAACTTTTTGAATTCCGAATTTTGGAGAGAAGATTTTGTATGTCAGTAGTATGCTCACGGCTGGTGGACTTAGTGGCATTGCCAAAAATACAGGCCTAGTAGCTGGCAACACTCAATGGTTCAGACGTGCAGCACTGCAAGCATGAAACATGAAGGCTGGTAGCTTAGCAACTAGGGGACTAGACAGTAGAGATTGATAACCAGAGTGAGACTGCTCAGCAACTCAAGCAGAACAACTTGTTAGCACATGTGGGAGCAGGAGCAGCATATGCTTCTGGGAGGTGGCAATGGCAGGTGGTACATCCATGCATGGCAGGTAATAAAGTCACAATAAGCTGAGATTAAAGCAGTATGCAAAAATCTTACAAAAAAATTTAAGCTGGCATAATAAATGGCTGATCCCTTGCATGCTAAAAACTTTAAGGTGTTCCATGATTTATGTTTTGCAGTCTCCCTAATCACTACTGAGCTTTACATTCATGTCAAAAACTCAATATCGCAGCTGATAAACTTACCAGGACAAGCACAGTAGATCTTTCAGTCCCTTGATGTGAATCCCAAAGGGCAGGTGAAGAATCAACCACTAGAGTCTCAGAGTAAATATTTGGAATAATGTGCAGACCTGATACAGGGTCCCAAGCCAAAGCAACAGGTGGGAAGCACCGCAGTTTACAAAGTTCTACAATGCATACCAACATACCAAAAATTATAATCTATTAACAGCGCTGCATGGTTCCTCAAACTGTACGAATTACTAGTAGTCTGGTACAAGAAGTATGCAAATTGATGTATGGTAAAGACCATATATCAGGAGTAGAATGTACACTGTTATTAGTTGTTACTACCACCACCATATTACCATCAAAAGGAAAACAGTACAGGCAGTGTTGCTATCAAGAATTTCGGTATATGCAGAGTTAAAGAGAAGAAACAGCTCACTATTTTTCTCAGCTTCCAATTGGTCGCCAGTAGCTTTTACTCCACATCCAGCAGTTCTCAAAGATAATATAACTGGTAGAAGACCAAGGCTCACAGAAAACGACAAGTTTAAAGCCAGTGGGTGGTCCTCCTTCAAAAATATTTCCTAAGATAAAAAAAAATTAAGTTTCAACACATCCATATCATACAGTTACAAACATCATTATCCATATTTTGGTAAGCAAGAATTAATTACTTCAGGAATATAGCTGGAGCCAATAATTCGGGCAGCAGAAAGTGCACTCGTCCCTTCCTCTGGATTAAAGAACTGTCCTACTGCCATAGATGCCGCTGGAGGTGGTCTACCTGAAATTGTCTGGATACAGAAGATCAGAATAACATCGACTTTTAACAATTCAGCAGGGAAGGTAAACATTTAGAATATATTTCTATTGATAAAAGTTTATATCCATGAAACAGGACAAAATACTTAACATCCACAAGATGGATATCAATAGAGTTTGCAACCGAATCGCAGAAATGGGCATTAATGCATTGATGTGACAGTGTTCCAATGTACTGGTCACGTGCACAGACAGACAGACTAGTCATGACAATTATATATCAAAGTTAGAGAAGACAATGAATCCATAACTTTCCAAATAATCATCTTTGATTTTATTTTTTTTATGGCAGTATGGCTTGTCATCGCAGCCAGCAAACCTTCAATGCGAATGTGAACAAGTATGTGGCCAATTCCCATGCAAACACAAAATCCTATATCCTCTTTCAACATTAAAGGCCTTTTTTTCATATTAAATTGCACATTTCTTCTTGGTACTTCCATAGCCAACAGATGAAAGGGACAACGTAGATGACTGAACAAAAAATAACCAAAATAATACTACTTTTCACTACTCCCAACATTACATAAATATGCCCCTCTAATTTCAAAATTTGTTAATAACTTCATATTCGCCTATTCTGTTACAACAGATGGATCGACAACATGCAATACACATACATGTTATCACACAGAAGAACTTTCACCCTTCTAACATACATGAATATCGATAGTTTTGACAAAACAATTGTAATTTTTTAAAATTTATTCTAATAAGATTGAATTCTATTTGCGTGTGTAGAGAAGTAGAAAGGGATATGTTACACAGGAAACATGGAAAAAGATGTCTTATAGGTGAAAGCTGCATATCCAGTTAGAAAGATGTTACATAGGGAACCTTTCAAAAATCATATTGTGCTAAACTAAATGATGCCACCAAAAAGTACACAGGGAGTCAATGATTGATATGCACCATGAAAATTAATCCTAATAATGAACAGAAAATATTATGGTATTTCCAAAAGCTTATCTAAGTCACGCGCAAGATGTTCGCCAACAAAGCAACAAACCAATTTGTCATATCTAGGATGAACATGAAACAGGAGTTCCTGAAATTGTTATCATTTAAAGTGGACTATTGTATAAATAAGGCCTGACTGCAACTGATCTCACCAGATACATTTCTGAGAAATTAACTGATGCTGGGCAGGGGGGGTTTTAGTATCACAATAGTACAGCAATAGCCTTATCTTTGTTCACACTTTTATGTAGCCCTGAACTTTTTATTATTATTATTATCAAAAGCAACTAGTTTTATTATAATAGATTATGATGGAAGGAATTCAAGATACTGTCACCTAAAGGTTGATGCGCATGAAGAAGCACAAGAACACAATAGGGGTTTGTGCAAAAAATTACAAGAAAACAGGAATGGTACAAGGGAATACCGGTCGAGGTGCCACTGAGATAGTCATGAAGCGGAAACCACTCATTTCTTCTGGACTAAGCAGAAGAAATGCAGTAGGAGGTGGTTGCTCGGTTTGACTCCCAGGTTCAACCTGTTCAAAAGCATAGCATGTAATTATCACAACCATGATGGCAATGTGCAAGATAGCAATGAAGCAGAGCAAATCAACTGTAGTAATGGAGTTAAGTTATGCTATGACTCGTGTTATACTAGCATCGTCAAAAGCTAAAGAACAAGAAAATTAAAAAAAATCCTCATGCAACAGTTTCTGGATTAAATCTACATAAACATACAAGTGGCACTGCGAGCACCGATAAGACGAAGGGAAGGAGGAACTGTAAAGTGTGAACAACACAAGAGAATTACTGCCATTTGCTATCATATTGTCCTAACATAATTTAGGGAAATAAGACAGAAATTGCAGTTAATAGTTTAAGAAGACAAAGGTGTTGGGCCATTTATTTTAAGCAGAAGAAACAGAGAAACTAGTGAACATGAATCAGAGAGTAAGAATGCCAGCAAGCAGGAAAACAAGTGGTTCAGAATTATAAATACCTGTTTTGGTGCAGGTCCTGCAGGTATTTGGACCATCTTTGATGTAACTTCCACTATCTTTTTGCTGGCAGGTACTCCATTTTGTTCAGATGAATGATCCTTTTCTGGCCACAAATGAATCCTCACCCCAGAACATGGAGAAAGATTACTTACAAAAACAAAGTGCCCTTTGCCATTTGATCCCTTGAACAAGAAAAAATAAAGCAGTCAGGCAGCTGCTCCATCTATACTTCTAATAGGATCAATATAAACAGAACTATATATAGGCTTCCCTAATTAACTCACAACAACATGCAGCAAAATAAACCACTGGTTACACCAGTAAGCCAGTTTCACCTACCAGTTTTTTAATATCTAACCATCTTCTCTTGCCATCCATTGCTAAAACAGTAACTGAATTTAACTGAATATGCAGGTCCTTTTCAAGGCCATCACTTGTCCATTGAAGAGATGGAGGGCAAGAAAGTGAATCCTTTTGCTGCAAGTCTATGATAAACATACTATGTTACATTGAGATAACAAGAAACACATGAGTTTTTGACGCCATTAAATTTGATAATGCCCTACAACTACCTACATGGGCTAATGTTATATTAGGTTGAATCATGTACAAAGATTAAAGAAACATACTATTCTAATCATCTATAGTTGTTGAAGGATATAGAAACTATTAGAAATGAGTCAATCAATATTGGACCTTGGCTATTTACCATGCATTACTATGTACTAAGAAGATCTCTTAGATTATGGTTCTAATCCAGTGCTTCCATTGATTTTTTGAAGAAAAAAATCGTTTCATTTAGCCTGTCTGTACTGCTATTATCTGAGGGGTATGCAATTGCTTATTTGTTAAGTTGTGAAGAGAAAATTAGTTTACTAAATTGTAAAGAGAACTTGGAGAATTGCTAATTTAATATGCCATGTTAATAAATTTGAATTATCTCAAAAGCAGAGCAGAATTTTGCAGGTAGAAAAATTATTTCACGAGAAATGAAATATATGCTTTTTCAATATATTGAAAAGGTGGCAAGGATATTTTTTAAAAAAAAATCATATTCTATTACTTGGAAACAAATAATTTTACCAATGTTTCCCATACACAGGTAAGCTTACCAACTACAAAAAAGGTGACACATCTAACATAATATATCATTTTCTAAGCAATCAATTTGCCATTGTGCAAAGGATGCAAGAAACAAAGAATGAAAGAACGAGCCGTACCACTAGCTTCCTTGTTACCACTTGCAATCAGATTTGGAGGCTTAACACCTGAAACAGGAGCCACCCAACTCAAAGACTGCGGAACTGCACTTTGGAGCATTTTTGCAAATACAAAAAGTCTTTTTTGTGAACTCAAAAATGGCTGTCCATTCAAAGGATCTACCATACTAAGAAGTGTGTGTGCAACCTGAACAAAGTTAAAATCAACATAAGTAAACTGTTGAAACATACTGCACAACACAAAGAATAATTTGGCATGAATACACAGTTTTGACCTGTACAACTAACTGATTGCACCAGAGGATAGACTGATGTTCCATGGATAACCAAACATTCTTCATGCTTGAGCTCCCTACCATAAAACCATGAGTAGAAGGTACAATTCCATCCAGCAAAGCTAACTTTGACCTAACCTGAATAAGAATGAATGGAAACTTGAGGTTCAATTGGCCTTTAAGGAACGACCATACCTAATGTTTTGAAGTAATCGCTCAATATTGGAAGTCAAGGATCCAAGGATCCAAAAACTCGGGCAACAATCATTGAGATATTGAATCAACCATCATAAATCAAATGAAATTCCATTATCTTTAAGTGCTGTAGGAAATTCCAAAATAGAAAAATGAATGGAACTTCATCTGGAATACAATCATTTTAAAATGGAATGAAATAACTTTATACCTCCAGAGTGGTAGCTAATTGCAATACTTTAAGAGATACATGTCATCTGTTCTTTTAGAGATGTAGCAGCTACATGACAAATTACAGGGGACTGAATAAATTTTATAATCTTGATCCAGTATATGACACATGGTCTACTTTTTTTCTAATGGTCTAGTATTTTTTTTCCTTTCCCTCTAGCTCCGATTGGAATTTCCATCCCAGTGTGTGGATGGCATATTGGCAAACAAACAGTCATAGATGCAAATTTTCAGAGCATGCACATGACCAGATCTGCATAGGATTTGTCATGTGAAATGAAAATTTATTATCAACAGAAAAGATACCTGATAATCATGGATGCCTCCAGCTACAGAGACAACAACAACATTTGAGAGTTTTGCACTGCTGGTGCGTGATAACCCTGTCTTGTATCCATTTCTCCATTCTTCATTGACATGCAAAAAAAACTGACCCAGAGATGGCTGCAGAGCAATGGGAGGGTACCTGGACAGGCAATCATTCTACAAGGTGAACAACATGCGAAACATCTAATCAATTGCAAGAAAAGAGATGCAGCTACCCAAGTACCCAACACATGCGCGCGTGCACCCACCCACCCACACATGCACCCACCTGCGCACGCACGACAAGCACACACACAAACCACGCACGCACGCGTGTACACACACACACACACAGAGGAGAGATAGGCAGAGAGAGAGATAGTACTGATGTGGACTGGAGAGTGTCAGTATGGTTTCCACAGCCGATTTCCTTAAGCCTGGATGGACAAGAGCTGCTCGAGCCACAAAACCACCCATGGAATGTCCAACTAAAATTACACTGGATGGCAAGTTGTCAGAGGATTGAGCACGACCCTTTGATCGTGCTAAATGAGATTCTTTGTATTGATCAAGGATCTACAAAGCATAAACAAGATACAGATTAAACCGATTCAAACAAATCATGATCAGGTGTATTCAGTGAACCTATATGAATACATTAAGCATTTGTATGTATGGGAAGTTGGGAACTAAACAGGCTTTTGATAATAGCAGCTTTTATATCCAACTGAGCAGAAAACTTTCTTTCTTGGTGGGATGATAGCAGGAGTTCAAATAAACACAGTTATGAACGAAGGGTCAATTACAGCCTATGCTAAGTTGTTACCCTGTGAATGGCGTAAACAACATATTCAGTATGCTCCTCAAGTATGCGTCCATCCATTGCAGAGTGTTCTCCTTCAAGGTCAACAGCAAACCAATCCAACATACGGCCATATCTTGATGGGATTGAAAAACCCTCCAGTTCATTTACTGAAAATGCAGTAGATGCTTCCCGATAAAAGGTAGGCTCAAGTGGACCATTTTGGTATGCTCGAAAGGATTCAGCAGCCAGAGATCGGACCTAGATGCACAATTACGATATGAGAAGCAATCATCATGTCATCAGTAACACTAGTACTCATTCACAACAAAATAAGCAAAACCATAATCCATGAGTGTGTAACTTGTTAATGGCAGGCATCACTAAGCATTTGCCAAGCATCCGACTGCCTTATCCTACCAATATATCGTTATGGTCAGAACATGCATGATCATGTAACGCTAATATGGGATTAGTCATTAGCCTAGGATTGACAAGTTGTGCATCGGTGCTAATCAGCTGAAATCTGATCGTGTTATTTATTTTTTCCAGGTTAATGGAATTCTGGAACAGGTGGATAATTGTTTGGATACTACTGGCGGCTCTTTTTATGATTCTAGTACAGCAGTGCATGCATCAGCACACATGATCCAATCAGTAGTGAGTTGATCCATCAAAATAGCGTGATGTCCAGAACCTTACTACTAGCATCCCTTCCTTTTGTGCAAGTGTTCACATGCTTTATTTCGAAATGAATTTCAAGAATGAAGAAATCCGTGACAAAACAAAAGGCCTCATCATTTGCTCTATGGCTTATAAGCCAATGCCAAAATTTGAATTTTAAAACTTGATTTTGATTTTTTTTTTCAATATAGTTTCCTTTTCAGCATTGGCTTTGAAGTCGCTAAAGATACATATACAAAAGTTTTACTCACAAGTTATTTTTTAATTGCTAATAGAAGTCGCTAAAGATATATCTACAAAAGTTTTACTCGCAAATTATTTTTAAATTGCTAATAAGCCGTTACGGGTGATTAAGCAACCGATGGGGACGAAAAGCGTTGACACCTGCTTGTAGCTGCCGCCATTGCCTGGGATGAAGAGAACCGGGACACCGTTGAGGTTGCTGAGGTGGTGGTGGAAGTCGATCTGCTTCCAGCCCTCGTGGTAGAGGAAGAGGGCGTACCTGTCGGAGGAGACGTTCTTGGGGGTGGAGACGGGGATGTAGGTCGGGTACATGTAGGTCATGACGCAGCCGTTGGGGACGGGGCGGAGCAGCCGGGTGAGCGCCGTGAGCGCGATCCAGGCGGTGAAGACGAGCACCGCTGCCACCCTGCACGTCCCGCCGAATCCGGCCATGGGGGAAGATCAGGTTGCTCGGCTGCGGCGACTGCTGATGCGCTCTCGCGCCAATCCCGGCATGCGGCCGCGGAGACGGTGGCCCGCCCCGAGATTTGAGCGGGAGAGGCGTGGATCGAACAGGACGGGATCTGGGGTGGCCGCCTTGGGAGAGAGGAAAACCTGCGGGCGCGGGGGGCGAGGAGGAATGGAGGGGGATGGGCGGATGGCGGAGGAGCCGAGGAGGCGGCGGCGGCGGCGGCGGCGAGGGGGGAGGGGGCAAGTGGCGGCGTGTAATGCTGCTGGGTGTTTAGCGGTTGCGTCTCGCCGGCTGGTGGGGCCCACATGCAGTGGGCTGTCGGATCTGGAGCCGGACGGCTGCCGCACGACGGAGCTTTTTCTTTTGTCAGTACGGGGCCCCTATTTCCGTACTTACTGAACGTTTGTTTTTTTTTTCATGGTTGATTGGATTTTTACCGTTTTAAAAAAAACAATTACTATACTATTCATAAAACCTACTCCCTCCGTCCCATAGAATCACGATTCTTAGAAGCCCGGGGTGACTTTAGCAGTAGTAGCAAAAGACTAGTATGCCATCACCAAAGTATAAAGTACAACCATTAATTAACGGTAAAAAAAAAAAGACAAGCATGAATTTCCCTGTGGCTGTCCTTCCCATCATCAATCCCCTTCCACCATAACAGCTGCATCCGAGTAAAGCCACATCCATCAGCATGCAAAGCAATTATCGGCCACATACTAGTATACCACACGCATGCAAGGCTCCACCGCCGCCGCCGCGTAGCAAAGCCTCCAACACAACGGAGGGAGGTGCGGGGAGGTGGACTGGTGGAGCCTTGCATCTGTCAATGAAGAACAGAGAAAAAGACATACTACAAGAACTAGCAAGAACCAGATACTACAAGAACTAGCAAGAACCCTGACGAGGCCGTGTCCGCTCGTCGCCGCCGCCGTGTTCGCCGGTAGCCGCTGCCGACGAGGCCGCGTCCGCTTGTTGCTGCCAATGCCTTGTCCGCTCGTCACCGCCGCCGCCGAGGCCGCATGTACGCAAGAACACCGGCGTCCGCTCGTCGCCTCCCCCGCCGACCACCGCCGCCGCGTTGAGCAGGAGGGATGTGCGGGGAGGAAGGCAGGGAGGGCGTGAGGGGAGCGGCGTGGAGAGGGGAGGGATTTGCGGGGAGGAAGGCGTGGAGGCAGGAGGTCGCATCTGGGCGTGATTTGGGGGAAGAGAGAGCGATGCGATTTAGGGAGGAGAGAACGAGACGAGAAAAGCCGAGGAGATAAGGTTTCTGTGGTCAAAACGATAGGAGAGAGAGAGGTGGCTGGCTCGTTTCCCATCTACTATGGCCCACAATCTCTTTTTCTGTGCACAGATCGGTTTTTTTGGGACAAACCTCCCCCTCCAGGATTCGTGATTTTGTGGGACGGAGGGAGTACTGCCATGTATCACTAACATTTTTTAAAATTTGAACCGCGCCATTGCTGTAACGATTTCTGTCAACCTTCGGTTGCTAGCTTACTCCACGTCGTGTTGTCCACTTGACACGCCACCACCCTAGTCCAAAGGTCACCGCCGCCAAGGCTCATGTGCCAATCAAGAGCACCATCTCCTCGTCCCACCCCTCTCCGGTCGTCGATATCATCTTCTTGCTGCCTTTCTCGTCGTGGAATAGGAAGCGCTGATCATCAAAGTATAGGTGGAAAGAGGAGACCGCTCCGCTGCCTGCCATGCCACCGAGGTCTACATATGTTGCTCTGCACCCACCGCATGTATTACCTTTGCACTCTCTGCATCCTTTGCGATTGTGTGAGGTCGAGCCCCTTGCTCCACAACACCACCCACCACTGCAATGGACACGGAGGCGTCGGAGATGTGAACGTGGCTTGCCATTGCGGTCCACACTCTCAACCACACCACGCCTCATGGCCAACCAGATGTCATCATCAGAGGCAAAGACCGAGACTTCTTTTCAGAAACAGCCAACATTGCGACACACACAAATCGAGTCACACTGGCATAGAATAGCTAGAAAATCGCTCTAATTAGTCATTCAAATGCAGAGATTGGAACAAGCTAGAGATAAATTCACAAGATTTCCATTGCTGGTATCCCCAGATCTAGCCCTATCGCCTGATCTACTCTTCTTCGTTATGCAGATCTAGTCCGATAGAGTCGGCAGCGTGTCCTCCTCGATGCGCTCCACCTCGCTGCAAACGATTCTGCTTCAGTTTGCAGCATGGCAGTTCTGCTTCGGCCCCTCGACTCACTCCTCCACGTTGCGAGGTGCCATACCGCTTGCTATGCTCGCGCTCCGTGCCGAGGACAGGGTGGACAGATTCTTTGCGCAGATGTGCACTGAGGATAGTAACCACGCACAACGGACGAAGGAGAAAGAATATTGGGGAACAAGTGTGGCCAGTTAGATGAAATTGGACTAGGGAACGGGACAGCCGTTTGTTGGAGATTGACAGAAATCGTGACGGTAATGGCATGGCTTGAATTTTAGAAAATTTCAATGGCACGCAATTGGTTTCATGAATTGTAATGTTTTTTTTTCAAAACAACAATAATGGCATGGATTTAATTAACCATTTCTTCATGGGGCGCAGTGTAATTTTACCCCCTTTTTTATTTTGTGAGTTTGCCCCTCACATTTTTTTAGTGAAGCTCAAGCGAATTAACACGGCCTCCTAACGGAAGAGGGGCAAACCCAAATTTCAGTTAAAAAAACTGAGGGCAAAATCATAAAGTTGAAGAAAAAGGGTAAAATCACAAATTGTAATCGAGAATAGGGATAAGAACATAATTGCCTTTTTTTCTCATTTGCATATTGTTTCCTATTTCCAATTCAAAATTGGTTCATTCCCAATTTTCTTTCTGGATAGTCCTTTCTTCCTGACGTGCTACAAGCTTTGCCAGCTGGTGAAGTAGTTGTGTTGTGTACTTGTGCTTGAGGATAAGTTGGTTTTTTTCCTTATAGTTTATTCATGTTTTGAATTTGTTTAATTCCGTATGTATCTGATAGTGCGTTTCTAGAAACAGAGGCAAGAGGCTTGGTAGCATGGTGTTGGCTCCGGCGATCTCTAGTGGATGAGTCGCCTCCCCCTCGTCCATTACCTCCTCAAACTCTCCCGGGACTTAGTTGCCTCATTCATCACCATTAGAGGCAAGAAGGGTGATACCCTATTTTCCCCCACTGATTTCCATCTTCAAAATCCATCGCCACCATTACTCGTCTTCCAAAATTGAGGTGTCAATCGTCTTCCCCATGCTAAGAAATCACAAAACCCCTCCACCTTCCCCGGCGTTCCACCTCTAGAATTCGTCAGCACCACTCATTGGTGCCTCCCCAAGCTCTCCCACATGCCAACGCCATGGCTGCTGCCATCTAGCTCAGCTCACACACCGCACTATCATTCCCAATTACCTCTAGCCCATCAACTATTCCCGTTGAGATCTGCACCCCCTAGCTGGGTCCTTCCATCTCGTCGGTTCCTACAGCCCTTGTCAGGTCCCTCCATCTCGGTTAGTTCTATGACCTCACTTAGGGGTTGGCTTGCTATGTTAATTGGAAGAAGAGAAGGAAAAAAAGGAAATATGGATAGTGGCCCCATTTGTTAATAAATGTAGGATTGAAGTTGACACCATATTGGTATTTGTGTGATATGCCATGTTTGATCTTGGACAGGGATGATATACTTAGCAAGATTTTTTTAGGGGGCAGGGGGGTCTAAAGATGTGATTTTCAAGTTTATGGACCTAAATAAAACCGATGCACATGTTTAATTAACTGCATTTTACTATCATGAGTATTACCGTAACTTTATTGGGATATCATAGAGGTTGTCTATGAATCATAACAGTAGATACCATTGGTATCTACCACTATTCTACAAGAATATTAGTTTACTTAAACGCCGTGGGAATGGCTGAAGATTAGCGTGCCACCTCAACCGTCTTTTGCAAAATAAACCCCATGCTTTTGATTAATTACGCGCCGGTCCTTGCTATGTCCACCGTCCGATCTTGAGATAGGCTCGATCTGGCCGTCCACGTTCCCCCTTTGGCGGCCCTTCCACACCCGTGGAATCGTTGGATCTCTAACGGACGGTGTGGATTTCGCCAACCCGTCCAAACCCTAGCCGCCCGTCCTCTCCTCCCCCATGCGCGCCGTCTCGCCCTTCTCCCCCCATCGCGCCGCATCCTCGCCCTCCTCCTTCCTCGCGTGCGTCGTCGCCGCCACAACTTCCTCCTCCTCCACTCCCTCAACCATCTCGCTGTGCCGCCATCGCTGCCTCCACTCCCTCAACAAGCCATCTCGCCGTGACACCATCGCTGCTCCCTCCCCGCCGGATCTCCCAGTGAGGAGGCTAGGGCCGCCGGGTCCGATGATCCCATTCTCCTTGTCAGCGGATCCGGCGCCCTAGAGAGGAACGAGAGCCGCCGCCGCCGCCCTTTCTCCTCTTTCATCCCTGCCACGCCACTGCCTCCCAAGCCCTCTCCGACCATTTGATTCATCGGCCTTGGCCTCCCCCTCCAGTGGATCCGGTCGCCGGCCGGACGGAGTCAGCAGGCCGCCGCCACACCCTCTTCTCCTCTCCCTCTCCATGAGCACCTCGCTCAGTGCCATGAGAAGGGAAGGGAGAGCGTAGGCTCGGCCACGACCGCGACGAAGGCAACCGCGGCTCGGCGACAATGGTTGCCTGCCTGCCTGGTCGTTCGTTCTCTCTCTTTTCCTTTGTTGTTCTACCTCAGTGACATGAGAAGGAAGGAAGTGATTGGACATTAGTTCTTGATGATTACAGCTTTGATTTGCTTCTAACGTGTGAGGCTTGATTTAGTTACAGTGTGTATGTTATGTAGAAAAATTTCCCTCTGCATGTACCTCAACACTGTCATGTGTGATCAAACTTTTTTAGCTTGAAGCAATGCACACTGCTACTAAAATTTCTATATGCTATGATTATTATTTATTCAGTCAGGAATTGCATATACAGCTATGGGGGGCAAAACGATAATGTTGATAGGTTTATTTGTTCCCATTTGTGCTGCAGGTTGTATTTTCATATTCAGACAGTTTTGGAAGCTGCAAGTACACATGGCTTACCTCTTGAATGTACATCAAAAGAGTTTTTCATATGCTGCTGTACTGTGTTCCTCATTTTCAGTGATGTATGCTATATGCTCGAAGCACATTCATTACAGGTATGCTCCACACCAATTTCCATATGGTTTATTTTTGTTTATCTACTATATTTCCTAAAATTTCCATGCATAAATATTTATGTTAGCTCGAAAGAAATCTGTACCGTTATTTGCCATTACCTTTGTACAGTTCTTTCATTCTGTAATCTTATCTTCTCGATTGGTATTGATGTGTTGTTTGCATCTGCTTGAAGTGCATACACTGCATGCATGCTTCAGCTTCACATCAATGTTCATGTATGATCATCTAATATATGGTAGCAGCATTTAACTCAGTGAAGTCTTTCATTATGTCCACCATTTTTGCTGCTCAGGTTTTTTGTTCCAACTATATAAATGCCTAGATGGTGAAAGGAATTTCTCTGTACAAAAGAGAATGCCCATTTATTTAAGTAGTAAGGCATCATATTCTTTTAGATTTTATAGAATATCTTAGCAAAATTTAGAGAGATTAGAGCCAATCCTTCATGCCATATTTCTGTACAAAACACGAAGGGTGACTGATAACATTCCTTTGAGTGATGAAAAGAAAGATGATTCCATTTTTGAGTGATGAAAACATTATCAGTCACTAGAATGACCTTTATTTATTCATGCTTCATGACATGCCTCTATTTTCTTTTTTATTAGGTCGCAAAAAGAAATGGATATGGATTGGGTCCATCATGGAAACAGACACAAATTTCTTTTGAAGGTACATTTCAATTTAGTTTGTGCATCAACTGGTTCAATGGGAATGTTTTCCTAGACATGTCCTAACCATTACGATCCAATGGTAAAGCAATATCATGAGTCAATCTTTTTAATATTCTGTCTTTCAGTTGGTTTGCTTTTACATGTCTATGCTCAGAGAGAGATTATTTCACTGTTTAGTTCACCGGTCTTTTTTACACATGTTTTTTTCATTAATTGTGAAACCATACTTTTAAATCCTAAAAGTTGTGGAGCCGATCTGTTTCGTCAAACTATAGTGTAACCTGCTGCTGCTGTGCTCTACAAAGCTCATTGTTTCCACATTTTATATTATGCCAGCTACTTACAAAAGGGCCAGAGAAGAAAAAAATGGGACATACCTGAAGAAGTATGCCATGTAGAACTATAAGGCTTATGTTATTGCATCCATACTTTGGTTAAGTGATCATGCATGCTTTCGCTCGTAAACTTTGCCATGTGGTAGTAGCACTTTGTACTACCTCTGCTTCGAAAATAGATAGAACTTCTGGTAGAAAAATTGGTTTCATGTGTTTAGAACTGTGATGCCAGGCTGAAAATATTATCTCTCTATATATAAATGGTTGATACTATACTATTTTAGCTGTACTAACGTTATTAAAACTTTCTATTACCTTTGTCCCAAAATGTAATAACTTCTGGCCCTATATCTTGAAAGGAATGTTTAGGTATACAGCTCAAAATTGCAATATATTTTAGGACATAGGTAGTATACTTTTTTTCAGGTGTACTGATGTCACTAATCGCACATAACGGAGGATTGTTGTTGACTAGGGCATCGGCATGCTACACTTGAGAAAAGGTCATTTTCTATCTGTTCATTTTAGCTTTACATGCATTTAATAGAACCACCAGTTGGCATGGTCTTCTGTTTGTAGCATCCAATAGTCCAGTGTGATTCTAGCTTATAGAGAAAAAGGGGTACCATGAAACCTCTGTAAACTCATTGTAATTGACATGTAATTTGCCTTTTTTTTTCTATTTATTCAAACTTCCTATACTTTTGATTTCCTCCTTTAGCCTAGCTAGACACTATTTTTTTGTGTGTTCCAATTTTTTTTACAAGGGTCGTTTATAGGATATAGATGAAAACATGAACCAATGTAGGTGAATATAGATACATATTATTCCTTGAACATATTAGACTTCAATTGATTCGGGCGGCGCGGCGTAGCGCGCTTCTATTATTGCTGTATCATGAAACATCATCAGGATGGAAGGTATCATGAGCATCAGCAATGTTTTGAATATAGCCCATGGCAGATCCATAATTTTATGATCCAATCGATCAAACAATGGTCATGTACTGTTGATGAGCTAGGCTTCTGTATGTTTTACTCCCTCCGTTTCAAAATACATGGCCTCGTTGATTTTTTAATAATGTTTGACCAATTATCTTATTCAATATTTTATTATAACTATATAAATATAAAAGTATAAGTTAAGATTATGTTTCTTTAATCATAAAACGTCACAACAATAAATGATAATTTTTATATAATTTTATAATAAGACGAATGGACATAGATGTTGTGGAACTTTAATTGATTTGCTGGTCGGTGTTGTGTCCTCAATTAGGATTTAGGATAAACAAATAATGCGCCATTAAGTCATCTTAAAGTATAGGATAGGAAATATGCTCTTTTTTTAGAAAATAAATTATGGAAGTAGCAAATGGACAGACACATCCCTCAAACAAATGAGAATGTAGTAAAAAAGTTAGTAGTTCGGAAATAAACTAGTATTATAGTTGATATATATATATACTCCCTCCATTTCAAAATGTTTGACACCGTTGACTTTTTAGCACATGTTTGACCGTTCGTCTTATTCAAAAATTTTTATGAAATATGTAAAATTATATGCCTACATAAAAATATATTTAACAATGAATCAAATGATAGGAAAAGAATTAATAATTACTTAAATTTTTTGAATAAGACGAGCGGTCAAACATATGCTAAAAAGTCAACGGCGTCAAACATTTCGAAACGGAGGGAGTATATAAGTAAATAAGTACAAAAGTTGATGAATGAGAAATAAACCAGAAAAAAATATATTGTACTACTCTATACCTACCTTCTAATCCTAAAATCATTTATATTTGAGAAAATTCCCTATCTAGCATAAAAAAAGTTGCTCTTCCCTCGATAACATCTAAACTTAAAAAGTTCCCTATCTAGGCACTTCTAAAATTTCCCTTCCCTATATAGCACTTTCGTTAGTTTTTACACTTCATGGTGTTAACTAGCAGGAGAAAAGACAGTTTTGCCCTTCTTTAGTTTTTAGACTTGCCTGAACATGATGTTGGTTATTAATTACTTAAGTTAACTAACGACAAGTGAAACCACAAGAGGATAATTATTATTATTTTTCAAAAGAGTGGATCGGCATGTTATATTTGCAGTGTTACGTTAAATCAAGAGAAATCATGTCTAAAATACCAACGCTCATGTAAGGGCAAGCCTGAAAACTAAAGAAGGGCAAAATCGTCTTTTCTCTTGCTAGTTAGCACCGTCAAGTGTAAAAACTAACAGAAGTGCTACATAGGGAAGGGAAATTTTAGAAGTGTCTAGATAGGGAACTTTTTAAGCTTAGGTGCTATAGAGGAAAGAACAACTTTTTTATGCTAGATAGGGAATTTTCTCTTTATATTTACAGAGAAGTGGAAGGGCATATAATCTCATATTTTGAATGGAGAGAATGCATTAGTGGTCTTGTGCTGCATACGGTGAGCCGGGGTACTACTCCGAGGTCCGAGCCTTGGCTCAACATCGTAGGATGTGATCTTTCTTCAACTCCAAACTCTAACTTTATCGTTTTCAGTTAGCATGTTTTGATAGGATGCGTTCCTTTTTTTTTACTTCGAACTTCAACATTACCATTTTCATTAGTATGTTTTTAAACTGGTGTTTTTTTTTGAAAAACTTTTTATACATAAGTTTCTTTAAGAAAAAAATCAAATAAAACTAATTTGAAAGTTTATAATAATTAATACTCATCTTATTATTTAAGTGCTAATGGTTTATCTTGTTTTATTTTATGTATCGAAAAGCTTAAACCTGGTTGGAGATTCTAACTAGCCCTTAGTATCGTTATCATTTAACGAAGATGAGCGAATTTTCTAGGATTTATCGGCATTGTGCTTTCAGTGGTAGGCGACGTACCCGTCGATAGTGAGATGCCAGTGGTGACTTCGTCAATCTCTAGGATTTGCCGGCCCAGTCTTCGAAAATGCTTAGAGCAAGTTTAATAGTATAGCCCACTATTAGCTCCAATTCATCTATAGTCAATCTAATAGCCAATTCATACAATAGTTACTTACTATACTATTAATATATGATCCCATCTGTCATACGTATATTGCGTCTTAGAGTCCGTGCTGCAGCTGGCTACAAATCTATAGCCTGCTGCTCTTCTCTCTTATCGTTTATCTCATTAAAATATGTTTGTAGCTAGCTAATAGCCTGCTATTGTACTTGCTCTTATAGGGGTAGGGTTTGCGTGCGTGCTTTCATAGGGGTGAGTGTGCGTGTGTTGTGAGTGTCTGCGATGTAATGTGTAATTAAAAAAAAGATAACATAAGTATTATTTGATGTTTTGTAGTGGCAGTACTGTTCGCTGGTAACTTGATATATAACTATCATCGTATATATCACTAAGATTTTGCGTGGTTTAAGAAATGTTCAGATAAAAATTAGATATAAAAAGATCAAATTTAAAACAAACGAACGAAAAAAAAGAGAACAGATCAGAAGAGAAACTAAACGACTAAACCCAAGGCCCGACCGGCCGAGGAAACGACCCAATCGGTGGAGCCATCCACATTCCACAGCCATCGCGCCGCCCCCCGATGAACGGCGGAGTAGATACGACTCCTCCTCCTCTCTCGCTCCGTCACTCGACTCTCTCGTTGCTCCTCCACCCTGCAACCCAACTCTCCCGTCTCCCGCTGCCTCTGCTCCGCCTCGCAGCCGTTGAGCGGCGAGATGCTCCACTCTAGGCGGCATCTGCATCATCTTTCTCGGTCAGTTTCTTTTCTTTCCTGAATTGCCTTCTCTTGCTTTGCTTACGCCCGTTTACAGTGAGAGCCATGCGCTTTTGCGGTGAATTTCTCCATCTTGATTGGGACCAACTTTGGATTTGGGGGGTTTTGAATCTTGTTCGAGATGTCTTAATAGGGTTTTTGAAGTTTTTGTAATTTCAGACGACTCCCCAACTGGGGAAAAAAATTGAAACTGATATTAGTTGGGATTATTTTTTTTAATTATACTAGAATCAGAACTGAGGAACGGAATTTTGATCCCAATGTAGAAAACAGTACGATTTTAATTTCAGCAGTAACGACTTATGTTACGCATCTTATTCAATAATAAATTTCTCAGAAACTATATAACTAGTTTTTTTTTGAAACTATAACTTTTTTTCATTGGTTTCACATAAATACACGTTTAGAAGGGATTTGCAGAAGTATACCAATGTCGCATAATGGAAGCGTGGCGAGTGTGCGAGACCGCGAATTCACATCCCTAACTAGCGCACTCGCGCGATTAATAGATTAATTAGCGACATTAGCAATTAATTAATTACTGTTATTTCTTTAATTAGCATAATCAGTAATTATTAACTGCTAATCACGATGATTAATCACTAATCAGGAGGCCATGTCACTGGTTGGCTACTTGGCTCTGCGCGACCGCGCAATCTCACGCCATGGCTCTGAGACTGTGGTGGGTCCCGCGATCTCGCAACGGTTCAACGATATCATGACGTTTTAGTAGTCCCACTCAACAATGACAATATATTTGTGTCAAAAAAAATTGTATCCCGGATATTTCTGAGAAAAAAATGAACAGTATATTTTCAAATTTAATTCGACAAAACTATCGTATAATTACAGGATTATGCTATAATGTTGTAATGCTACAGATATGAACCCAAATTAATCACAAACCATATGCTTATAAGCCACATAACAAAACTATTAAATTACAGATTTTGTGCTAACTTTATCACAAGACTACTGATTCAAAGTTTCATCGAGATAACAGTGCTAAGGATGGAACGTCAACAATCTGTAGCTATGTGATAAATTCGATGGTAAATTAGTACTTGTGAACAGTGCAGCCTAACGTATAGTATTGGAATAAATTTGCGCCAGATATATGAGTCAGATGCTAAGGTTTGCCTATGCTCTTTGGTGATAGATTTGCCTACGGATGCAAGGTCATGCCAAGCATCATTGGAGTAAAAAATGAGAAGAATAAGAGTAAGTTCGACTGGCACTGCCACTTCTCTTATGCTAATGATTCTTTCTGCACCTCCAACTATACCCTGGCCAAGCAATTTTCCATTATAAAAGGTATGTGTAGGTCACACATGAGGCTTTTCTCGAAAAAAACAAAAGATATGTGGTGGTTTACTGAAGGTGTCAGCGATAACTGTCCCACTGTTGATGTACATCCTGCAACAATATTAGAAGGCAGTAGCCACCGTGATGGTTCTATATACAAGTTTTGCCCTGGTTTTATCCAAGTATTTCAAATTGCTGATCGTCATGAGAGTAAGTTATTGAATTCTCTTTCCTATTTTGTTATGCTAGCTCTTTATAAGAATTGAGGTTCTTTTGTGTTGAAATATAAATGTACTACGGATGTTCCAGAGAAATTATCTTGAGGTGTGGGCTATTAAGAAATGAAGTAACTCTGGTCAGAACAAATCAGTTCAAGTTTTGTTGAACATATTGCAAACCATATATAACTTTTTTCTATCAGACAATGGTTTTCTGTAATTTTGCATAAATATGTATTAAAAAGCGTATCTGTATTTTTTATAACAAACATTTGCCAAATGTATTAATTTAGTTGTCTTTGGTGAAGCTTGCTTGGAGCCGATGATGCTTTCACAACCTATGGACTGTCAACCTAATAGGGATACATGCACTGTGCATTTTTCAACTCGCATGATGCAAATTTTCTCAATTAAGTTGGCTAAAATACATATGTATAGTGGCCCAGTACAGATATATGGGTACATAGCAGTGAGAGATCATCTTGATTCAATGCTTAATTATGTTGTGAATCGTAGCAGGGATGATCCCATCATCGTGAAGCAGGTGCACATCCTACACTCATATGCAATTATTTTAGTTACTCTTTTAATTCTACACAAGTCCAATTTAATCTCATGAATAAACCGAATCGGAAAATATATGTTGTGGTGGCATACTACAATCACTCGATCTCCTTTAAATCATAAAAATTGGAATGAAAGGTGGAATACTACAGCTATTTAATCTCTTTTATATGATGCAAGTTTGTGAATAAATAGAATGTTGTGTTATCTTCTTTGTTTTATTTTTAAATAGTCTTATATGTTAATAAATAAATATAGGCTTTTGTTGATTTGTCATATATATTTTATATTGCATGAATATCGACCTACTCTAGCCCTAGTTATTTTTGTGTTATGGCAGCAAAACTGAACTGTAAATAACGATGATACCAAATCATGTCTCTTCAGGATGAGTATTATTATGGTATTGACATTGACTGTTGACTGATGTATTAAGTAAACAGTAGGTTTTCTAGACAAAACAAGCATGAGAGTTTCGTCAACCCATAATCATTTAAGAGTACAACAGTGAGTCTGTACAATAAAATTATGTTTCTTTTCTTTTCTCTAATGCATCTGAGGATAAAAATGTTTGAGTTATAAAAATATCCTTTTATTTCTTCTCTCCCAATGCATCTGAAGATCTTATGTGGATGGGTTCTTCAAATACATGTCCCTTGGAGGATCTTATACAAGAATGTTTGTCTATGTGAATGAGCATCTTTCAGGTGCTCCCATCCCCTTAAAAATGTAAATATTTATCATGGAAAGTTATCAAACAAATCACAGCAACATAGAGTGTGGTGCACAAAAATTCAAAACTTTGCATGATGAAGGCTAAAAAATTTCCAAGTAACAATTCTTGTTTCTCCTTATACAAGTTCTGTTTACATTTCAAATTTTGTGAAGTGGCAGATGTCACCATACTCTATATTACTAAACATTTTTCCATAAAAAATGTATTTCTGGGATGACTTTTATTTAGTTTATCCTAGGAGCACCTGAAATGTCCTTAGCATATGTTTATTAATGACACATGCCATCGCACCTTTTGAGTTTTGTATGCTGTGCACAAATCTATGACCAATTAACTGTGCACGATGAATTTCACAAGACTGATTTAATATGTTGGGTGTAAGGTATATGCCACAGGGGTTTTTCCTACTTATCATTTTGGCACCACTTTTTTCCTAATTGTTGTGATGCCACTGGTTCCACCAGCGAGATCAATATGCCTCTCCACCGTTAACGTTAATTAAGTAGCACTCACAGTATCATATCAATAGGGGTTAAGCATTTCTTTGACAAAATGCCCATGGAAAAGAGAAAAAGGGCCTTCCTCTCTTCACACGGCTATCAGCCCTCCTCACTCCATGCATGTGGCCACAGGTGATTGCTGACTACCACATGCGAGGAAGGCCTCGCCCTGGGCAGCTCCACCTGCCTTTGCCACCTCTGTACCTGGTTCGTTACCACTGCCTGGAGCCTTCCTCGGCCTCCTCCTCATGGGCTCTGCGTCACCACTCTGCATTGATGTTAGTTACTTCTGCACTGGCCCCGGTGCCACTACCCTACGCCTGCCTAGGCCACTTCTGCCCATCCCCAATTTTGTCGCCGCCATTGCCTCTGGTGTACATCCCCCTAGGTCTAGTTTCCACGCCTAGTAGAGTGATGATGTTGAAGACTGGTGTAGCTTTCCCTGACCGAAGCCCCCCATACCCAGACCTGGTTGCCAACGTGATCTAATGTAAGAACCATGACATAATAAATCTAATGTGAGAACTATGACACAATAACACACAAAACATACTAAAATTAACACTTCGAATTTCATGTGTAACCAACTTATGTGTCATAGCAAAACACCAAGTTGTCAATTTTTAGAGCCTGTAGTTTACGCCATCATTTATTTGATATCCCTTGCATTCTTATAAAAACCAAGCTATTAGTTTAAAATATTGGAAATTTAATATGAAAATATACTAAATGATAATTTATAATAATTTCACAGGGTTCTTGCATTGAAATGATTGGCCCTAAGCGAGGCATTTCGATGTCTTGTTCTGTTGTTCTGAGTTTGACATGAGGATAAAAAAAGGAGATCGAGAAGAGGATGATCTAGAACTGATTGATGGAGCATTAGAGTACAGCCAGATAACAACACCAGCAATGAGACCAATGACAAGTCGCGTTAGTGGCAATTGTGGCGCAGTTGACATCACTTTAGCGTACCTTTACCAGGCAGTGGAGGCAACAATAGAAGTTTCCATATCAAAAGTGCCTAGGGGGTTTCAATTTATCTCTGAGTGTGTTTGTTCTTATTGATAAGGTACGACAAGAAATTCAACTCTTTGATGGCATGGTTGGCGAGCCTTGTGGCTTAAGAAGGTATGTGGTCGTAGTAGCGTCGGATACCTGGATGCATTTGAAGTTCAAGGTATGTGAAAAAGGCTCTAAAAATGATGTTGGTCACTACTGTTCCTTCAAAGCAAACCGCCATGGATTTGCCAGTCAACAAATAGTTGTTGAGCCTGGAGCTATCACAGTGAAGGTGAATTGGTCTGTTATCCCTCTATATCTGTATGTGTCGCACTTGCTGAATATGACTTAACTAGTGGTTGGTTTCTATGCTGAAAGGGAGTACTCTTAGATATATATGTATATTATCTAGTAGTATTATTCAATTTGATTGTGGCGTATAGCATTGCTTCGTTTGCGATATTGGTCTATGTTCTGCTTAATTTGTTGCCTGCCACTGTAAATCCTTAACTTACTGGTTTTATCGTATGTTCTGCTATGACCCAGATTACTAGTTTTCCTACTTACTGATATTAAGATATAAATGATGACGGACAATTTTGGGGTTTTCTGAAAATATCAAGATGAAGCAAGCTCTGATATTTAAGATATTGAACAAATATTCAAGAAATACAAAAATATAGTGTGTATTTACGTATGTGGAAGGGAGAAAGAAGGATCAACGTATACAACCTGATGTATGCTTGTTGCAGAGGGATAGAACTAAATTACGTATACATGATAGAGAAAACTGAAGCTAATGAAAAAAATAATGTTCTGGAGTTCTTGATCTTTCTCTTCTACATTTTTTTTAAGACCAGACAGTTGGGGACATTTTGTGATTTGTTGAAGCTGCGGTGTGTTCTCGTCTTCTCGCCCATTGATGTTCTGTTATTTGTTGTGCTAACAGAGTGTATTGTACAAATGTATTAACAGAGAGTGTGTTCTCTTGTCCACTGCATTTCGATTGATGCTTTGGAGCTGACGAATTCCCAATTGAATAACATTGCTCCTCTGACATTTTGCTTGTATTTGTAAGGATATGTTGCTAAATTAGATGAGAGTAATGGTGCTTGTGTCTTCTAAGGACACTGAGCTTTCCAGAGATCTTTTTGTTTCCTCCAATGGCGTTGCAAAGCAAATTGAAGTCGATATTTAGTGCAGTGGCTAATTCGCCGGGCTGGCGGAAGCCAGTCGAAGTTTATTAAGATAGGGGAAAAAAGTCACAAGAAACAAATTACAAAGGTGCAAGCTGCAGATTCAGGCTACAGAGGATGCTGCCTGCCAGACACTAAAGCACGTCTGTACTACAGAGCAGCGAGCTACCACCACCGGCTTAATGTTGCTCTCTCGCCATCAGGTTGCTTCCGGCTTGCAGTGGACACAGCAGCCCTGCTGCACCCCAAGTGGTCCATTCATCTTCCATTGCTGCACATAAGTGCGCCGCCGGAATGGCCTTGTTGTCGAAAATTCTAGCATTGCGTTCCTTCAGGTCACCAAGATAACTCCAGCATCGAAAGTCTTACGGTCTTGTTTAGAAATTGATTTCCGCGCGGAGCGCCACCAGGAGGAAAGATCAGCCGACGGTGTAGTGGAGGACAGACCAAGGCGGCCACGCACAGTCGCACACACCTGCTGCGTGTAACGACAGCTGAGGAAGATGTGTGCGCATGTCTCTCTATCTTGGGAGCAAAGGTGACAAACCGGGGCTAGGTGCCAACCCCGCCGCTGCAAGTTATCAGCCGTCAAACAGGCGCCCCGCATCGCGGTATACATGAAGAATTTACATCTCGCAGGGGCCCGGGACTTCCAGATGATCTTTCCAATCACACACTTCGTCCTTCCAGCGCAAAGCAGCGAATAAGCCGATTTAACCGAGAATTCCCCATTTGCGCAAAGCCGTGGCTAATTAGAACTAGCTCAAAGAACATGTGAGCAATACAAGCTAATTAGCTGAACAGCCCGAAATGAAGCTGTATAATCATTTAGGTTGTGTTCCTTGAACACGCATCATAATGACTATTTGAGCTCGAAAATTTTCAGCTAGCTCAAAGTGCTCAACTTTTAGTTCTATTGTTTCGCTTATTCGAAACGGTATTTTGCAAACAAAAGTAATTTGTAAATAAAACTTTTATATACGTGTTCTTAGCAATCTAAAAGCAAAGGCTAAAAAATAAACTTCGATGAAAAAACCCTAAAATCAGTTTAAAATTTAAGGTTGAAAATTTAAATTTTCGCTAATAAGTAGCATAAGCGAAAAGATGAGGCTGTTTGTTAGATTTACAGTTGAGCCAATTGTTCACCAAATTCTTCAATCTTTCAATTTCTTTTATAAGCTAAAGTACAGTGCACATAACGAGAAAATAAATACTAGTTACCATACAAAATTAAAGGCCAGTTAGTTACAGCATGTTTGCAAGGCGTGGAAAGCGTTCGAAGATCCAAGTGACGGCCCTGATGATGAGCAGCGCGGATTCCCCTGGCTTCACTGCTGGCTCCACGCAGTCTCGCCCATACACGATCTGCAGCTGCTGCTGCTTCTCGTCCAGCTGGAGGCGGTAGAAGCTGCATCCCCTGCTGAATGGGAATGGCCGCCCCTTCCAATCTGCACACAATCGCAAATTCACATTGCCTCCATCGATCATCTTAATTCTAGCCATTATCAATGTGAAAACTATTTGAAACCTTCGAGGATCCTCTCATTTATCTAAACACCATGTAAATAGTCATAAAAATTTCTAAAAAAAAAAATTAACAACATTCATATAATGTACTATTTCCGGTTTTTAATATACGACGTTGTTGACCTTTTTGATAATCGTTTGAACACTAAGCGACATGACAAATTAAATCATGCTTAAATGATTTTTAATATGTAAATTTAAGTCATGCTTAAATCAACATTAATGATAAATCAAATCACAACAAAATAAACTATAATTACATAAATTTTTTAAGTAATATAAATGGTCAAATGTATATTAAAAAGTCAATGACACCATATATAAAAAACAGATGGATTATATATACAATTTCACAAAATCTTAGGTCAAAACTTAACTCATATATTAAGGTATGAAAATAAATAAATTCAACAGATGAACACTAGTGATAGTGGTACTGTTCTTTTGTTTCTCACTATTGTGTTTCTCGAATTTGAAATTAAATTTTGGTGAAGTGTTAGATGGCATATCTCTCTATACTGTAAAATATGTATATATTTTTTAAAAAGATATTTAATAACCATTTGCATTGAATTTGAAAGCAAGAAAAACTGGAGAGATGAATCCATTCATCCCCTCAAATCTTATCAATGGCTCAATTCGCTAGACGTAGAGATATGTGTGTACCGAGGTGCCAGGTGACGCCGACGGCGCGGGAGTCGTCGCCGGCGGAGATGTCGTCGATGACGAAGCGGAGGTCGGAGCTGACGGAGCCCATGAATCCGGCGAAGAAGCCGAGTATCTCGGCGCGGCCGACGAAGGGGTTGGGGAAGACGAGGTCCTCGTAGACGCACCCCTCCGCGATGAGCGGCTCCACCGCCGCCAGGTCCCGCCGGTTCACGCCGTCGTAGAACGCCCTCACCACGTCCGCCGCCGAACGCGCCGCCGTCTCCTCCCCACTTGCCGGCTCCACCATCGACGAAGCTGTGACTGTCATCCTGCCGGCGGCGGCGCCACTCCTACGGCGGCGGCGGTGAAGGGTCAGCCGCCGGGCGGCGGTGGCCGGACCGAGACCCCGAGGAGGAGGAGCGGGAGCCACTGGAACGGCGAGGTGGTGGTGGATTAGCGCCATGGTGATGCGTGGCCATCGTCCGCGGTCGGCGGCGCGCGTGTACGCGTGCTGGCCTAGCTTGTATTCGATCCTCACCGCAAAGTCCCCAAGGATTAGCTTAGCCTTATCCCCTCCCTTCCAATTCCATAATTAGTTCTTTACGTTTTGTATAACTCGGAAAAAGTGTCCGTGCGTTGCAACAGGATAAACTAAAATTTTGATAAACATTAGATCTGTACTTTGACATTTTCCAAAAATTTTCTCAAACTCAATTCAGAAATTTGAAAGTGAATCCAACTTTTTTACCTTTCAAATTACTTTTTTGACCAGTCTTTCCTCATTTAAAATTTGTTCAGATTCTCATATATCAAAATCCACCCCAAGATAAAAAGAAATCCTTATGATCCGCATTCGGACTGATGATGGATGATAAATGAATACATAAAGATATTTTTCTACAAGCGAAGATATTCCTAAATTATTTTTATAATATGATATAACTCTAACCATTATTAATATTATTTTTTATTAAATTTTTAGTTATTATACAGTTAATCCTACTTTGATTCGCTGGGTGATCGAATGCAAACATACATTTACATCTACATGTAACGAAGCGTAAAATCTTAATACGAATCCAAAACGTCATGTATGGCCTAATCAGAGACCAAAATAACCGCACAAGCGATATCATCGGATTTCTTGGAATCATTATAGAAACCAATGAAAACAAATAAAATACGAATAATTAAAAATTAAAAAAATCAGTTTATTCTTTTAAGTTGACTGGAAAACATATTTTAATTTTGTTATTTTTATACATATTAGTTAAAAGTGAAATTCACTGTGGGAATTCACTTGAATATATATTTTCTTAGAAAATTATGAGCTGCAGTTAGGAGTATGTGAGTTTTTTTAAAGAGATTTCTATATGACTGTTTTTGTATTTTCAAAAGCGGACCAACTTAGAAACGGAGTCAAAAGCGGGTATATATTTCTAAATGCGAATGAAGCTTAAAACCGACTCAAACACGAATGATCTATGAAAGTACCAGCAAAAACATCTTCAATTTTTATAATAATAGAGATAAAAACCGATTGATTTGTATTGTCACTATAGTTGTGAGCCCGAGTCCCAATACCAATGGAAAGAACAAATGAGTTTCTTTATTTATTGGAGCTGATTAAACCGAGAGGCTTCTCGGTTTAGATTTTGTGTTTTAATTGATAACGTCGTTGACTTTTTGTCACATATTTAACCATTCATCTCATTCAGAAAAATTATGTAATTATAATTTATTTTTTTAAGTTATTTTATCACTTAAATTACTTTAAGTATGATTTATCTCTTATATATTTGCGTAAAATTTTTGAATAAGACGAATGATCAAACATGTATTCAAAAGTCAATGGCGTCATTTATTATAAAACGGAGGGAGTAATAATTATGTTGCAAATCGTTTTTAGGCAACTTACTAGAAAAATGCATCCTTGAGCACTCTCAGAGTCTGGTGTTATTTTTTGTGTTTTCTTTTGCAAAACAAATGCTAATGTATGTAGGTGTTGTCAGGGTGAGGCACGTTAGATTAACTTTTAGCTTGTATGGATTGTGTCCAAACATGAATTCAGCAATAATAAAAGGGGTAGTGCACGAGACCTAGAAGTGGATGGATGCGGAGACAAAGGATTTAGACAGGTTCAGGCCCTCTCGATGAGAGGTAATACCCTACTCCTGTTTGGGGATTTGAATCCGCCGGGTGTAGTATAGATCTGACGATCTAGTTGTGTCTCATGCCCCCTAGAGGGCCTCCTGCCCACCTTATATAGGATGGGGGGCAGGATTACAAGATAGAAATCTTAACCAATACGGTATCGGTTTCCTAAATATATTCTACAATATTATCAAATCAGGACTTTAGGCCGCTCCATAATATAAAAGGAAACGTAATACCCAAGTCATGATCTGTTACATATTCCATAGATATAAGCTATCCCCTAAGACTAGTCGGATAACCATGCCGTGTGGGTATAGGGTACCCATAATCTCCACAGTAGCCCCTAAGACCTTCACAGTCGAAAAGATAATCTTCTCTCAAACCAGATTACTCCAAAGCCGAGTGCTTCAATCATCTTTGCCATGGTCTCCCAACTACTTTTACCAAATCTGAAGACTGTGGAGGGCTGAAAAATAATTAAATATAAACTTAGGTGCATCGACTAGATGCACCTAATAGGTGTAGCCCCCGACCATGGGGTTAATTGAATAAACCAAGCATAAGTCAGGGAATAAATAATCCAACCAACTGAGTGGTTTTTGATAATTATAGTCAACCAAGTGACTTGATACCAATACATAGCATATACGGTGTGAATCCCCGAATAATATGATCCAGGTGATATACTGACTGCTTTGCAGAATATGATGCGTGCAACCTAAAGTTGACAACATATTTGAAAATTCACATAGCAAAACAGCTATAAAGAAGAGCTTGATGTTGTGAATAAAGAAATTTCCAAAGTATTGGGCATACACCATGCGCACACTGCTTTAACAGATGTGCTTAAGTCCCTAAAAGATACATAGTTTCACCACACCTGGAAATATATGGCATATGTGGTATAACATCCGAGTAAATAAACTCATAAAGGATTTACCAACCGCCTGAAAAATGACCAAGATATATATAATCAGCCTAAGCTATAATATTGGTTAATAAAAATGCACACTTACGTGGTAAAAAGCAATGATGTTGTATCCAATCAATTGCTTAAAAACCCAAACAGCACCTTGACTTATATAAAAAAGTCAGCGGGATAGCTATATAAAGCTTTACTGTTTGACACCTTTTAAGATGCATTGTACCAACTCCTAAAAAGTTGAACAACTGCGGTATAAAAGGATTTTAAGGTATTGGGCACTTGATCACGCGCACTTTGGCCTAAGCAAAAAGTGCCTAAGTCCCTAAAAGAACGTGACAGGCCACACCTGAAAATATGGGCTGCAGACATATTAGGCCTAGGCCAAAAAATATGCCTTCGACACCCTTTAAAGGATGACGCATGTAACATACTCCCGAGTAATAAATCTTCCGGGTAATATAGACCAAGTGTAGCTCATATGAATAGCTTCTGATCTGAGTGATTATCCCTTATGGGATACTCCAAAATAGATACAAAAATTGAATCCTGACTGGTGCAAATATACGGTTGATAACCCTTACGGGGAGTAATGATTGGTCCAGTCTTCGAGCATAGAAAATAATATCAAAACAAAATCCAACTTGAAGGTATGATACTTGTGTTTGAGCTAGTAAGCCCCTAAGCACGTAGTCACAATTGTCCATTGATGGTAGCTGACGTAGTTGGCATAGAGACAAGACGACCAATATAGAAATAATATTGCCCACCAGAGGTGGCAAAAATATTGGTGGTAGTGAAGATAGTGATACCAATCAAAAGTGATGAAGATGTAGAGGCGCATCAACAGTGATGGCGAAATCCACCAATCATGAAGATGAAGAAAATAGTCGGCGGCGGCAAACGCATCCGACGGTAATGATGATTAACAGCAACAGAGATAGCCGGCTATGATGACGAAGTTGCCCATCAACGGCAGCAGTGTAGGCTATGCTTAAGAGGCTTGACAGGATGTTGATGAAGATGACGATGTCGGCGATCCAGTCAATAGCGGTGTAGCAGCCGATAATAATGACAAAGACGCTTATCAGCGTTTGCGTAGTAGGTCAACCGTGAAGGTGAAATAATAAGTCGGCGAAGACATAGTCATCCATTAGCAACAGCGGAGATGTCAGGGCCGATGAAGCAGAGGTGCTGGTGATGATGTCAGTGACAATAATCCATCAAATTAATGTTATAGCTGTTGTAGATGCTTCACTTGGAGGAGAGTTGATACTGTTGTCCAACTCGTCTAAACCGAAATATTTGAAGTTGTTGAAGTAGAATGTCTGCTCCGAAGCAAAGATGAAGATAATGACTCCTGGAGTTGACTCGTTGGTTGATTAATTGATTTCTTCAGCTTGACATAAAATTTGTCAAATTTTAAGCCTTGTATTTGTGTAGCCCCCGACTCTTTGATTAGTTGGGAAACAACTGAACATAGAGTCAAGAACTGTAGCTTCTTGTCGTCGAATAGTCATTGCTTGATTGAAGATATGTGTTGAAGATGTCTAAGAAGAAATCCTGAATATTGGAGAGCCACTTGTTGTAGTAAAATAACACGGCATCGCATGCCAAGATATCGAGGTTCACAAAGACGTCGTGGTTGGTGAAGTAGCAAAACTTGCGAAGTAGCAGCAATAGAGTTTGCCGGTGCCGAAGATAATAAAGATGAAGTCGCTCCACCATGATGAAAAAGTTGCATTGCCGTGATGAAGTGAACACGAGTCGGAGGCAGCGGAAGCAAACCGGTGGCGAAGACGCATAGTCGTGAAGATAGAAACACCAGTCGGCGATGGCAAAAACCAGACGGTGAAAACAAAGGTGTCCATCAGTAATAGCATAATAAGCCAGCTATCAAGGCGGAAACACCAGTCAGCGGCGGACGAGGCGGCCGGTCGGTGAAGACGTAGACGCCCAACAACGGCGGCATAATAGGCCAGCCGTGCAAGCGGAAACACCAGTCGGCGGCGGACGAGGCGGCCGGTCGGTGAAGACGTAGACGCCCAACAACGGCGGCATAATAGGCCAGCCGTGCAGGCGGAAACACCAGTCGGCGGCGGACGAGGCGGCCGGTCGGTGAAGGCGTAGACGCCCAACAACGGTGGCATAATAGGCCAGCCGTGCAGGCGGAAACACCAGTCGGAGGTGGACGAGGCGGCCGGTCGGTGAAGACGTTGACGCCCAACAACGGTGGCATAATAGGCCAGCCGTGCAGGCGGTGACACCAGTCGGCGGCTGCGAAAGCAAGCCGGTGGTGATGTTCTGACTGATCCATTCCTAGAGCGTAAGAGATAAGCTTAAAGCCATTAATCCCTTTTATGCATATCTGGATCTGGATCCTGCAGAACAAACATATAGGATGAGTAGTATCTGATGTAAATACAGTACTTGAGAAAGATTCAAGTATTTTAAAATATTTATAAATATATATTTCTCCTCTTGTCAATTTTGATTTCCCCGAGCAGATGACTCCGTACGTTTAAACACTCTGTCCGACTAGTCATAGCCCCCAAGCATCGGGAGTCGGCCTAGGCACTTCCCAAACATGCATATGAGTGACATGAGCTCGTCATTAATGGAACAAAGTTTCACGAATCAGAATTTACTACTCGAGTACTTTTGCAATTGTTAAGAGCAGAAAATAAATTTATCTTATCTCTGTGCTTTTGATTTATTCCGAATAATACTTAGCACCTTGCGTTACTCGGTCCATCCACCGAGCCCCCAGGTGCTAGGAATCGGCCCAAAGGCAACTATCCATTGACAAACCAAACGAAAAGCATAGGAAGATAGAACTCCATAACTCGATAGGCACTTTATTGTTACTCGGATTATTTCGCAAGCAATCAAGATAAATATTATGAAAATTGTTGAAAAAATATGATAACATCTGTAGCCCCCGACTCACTAGTCAACGGTGAATCAGTTGATGTAGTGAGGCAAAGGAAAAGGAAAATATCATATAAAGAATGAAATAAATGATGACTTAGCTTTGTAATATTCCCCTAGATGATGGCAGAGGTGACCAATGTGGGAACAAAGTTGTCCATCAATAACAGTGGAAACACCAGTCGGAAGCCGGTGGTGTAGATGACGAGGCCCATCAACGGCGGCGGAGTCCGTCAACCGTATAGGCGAAAACACTAGTCGGCAGTGATGGAGGCAGGCCGGCGGTGAAGTCGTAGACGCCCAACAACGGCGGCATAATAGGCGTATAGGCAAGGACACCAGTCGGTGGCGACGGAGGCAGGCCGGTGATGAAGTCGTAGACGCCCAACAACGGTGGCATAATAGGCCAGCCGTGCAGGCGGAACCACCAGTCGGCGGTGGCGAAGTCCAACCGGTCGGTGCAGTCGTGGACGCCCATGAACGGTGGTGTGACCAACCAACCGTATAGGAAAGGACACCAGTCGGCGGCGACGGAGGCAGGCCGGCGGTGAAGTCGTAGACGCCCAACAACGGTGGCATAATAGGCCAGCCGTGCAGGCGGAAACACCAGTCGGCGGCGGCGAAGTCCAGCCGGTCGGTGAAGTCGTGGACGCTCATAAACGGTAGTGTGACCAACCAACCGTATAAGCGAGGACACCAGTCGGTAGCAATAGTGCCGCGGTATTACATGTAGACAGCAGAAATGAGATTGATCTCCTCGATCAAACTGACTCCGAGACGGAGAAAATTGGTTGTCGGTCTTGCACTGTGTCGCTAGGACTAATCAAGCGATCCATAGCTCGGCATGTTCTGCATGTGTTCTCTCCTGACAAGCCATAGGCCGGCTGTTCCCATGTGTGACCCGTGGTAGCCACAGGACGTCCATTGGTGAAGCTCCGCGATTCACATGGAAACAAATCAAATAAATCTGATTAATATCAGCAAATTAAATGTATAAATCTCAGCGATTGAATGCATGTATGGCTGGATTAATTAATCCATGCATGGCGGTTGAATCGACACATCCTGTACATCTCCAGCGATCTTGTCATGTGAACTTTCGTGCATGCCTGTCCAGCCCACGACTCGAATTCGCTCAGAGAGTGGACGGCTTCGCCATGCGTTGCGACGGCTTAATTATGCCATGCCTAATTGAACACCTTGGTCGCCGGCAACATGCATACACCAGAAGAAAGAGCAAAGAAGAAAAAGACCATCAATCAATCTGATTTAATAATCAATCTAATTAGCAGAAAGAAGATTAGATGCATATGCCATATTCTTGCTCCCTGCTTGGCCCTCGTCATGTGATGCACATGCGGATCGATCTGACGCGTGGACTATACAGCTGCATGGATGTAGATTGATCGAGGTGGTCGGCCGGATTGAATTAGACCAAGCGACGTCGACGGAGATCATGTGCCGGCGGCTGGTTGCTGCAGGTCACGTGTAGCTGCTCGCCGATCCGGAAGTCCAAACAGCACACGACCGATCGGCGCGATATCTCGATCTGGCAGGCGCTCAACGCTCTGATGAGACGCGCCCTCCGTCCTCCTTGCGGCGGTGATGCAGCCCACTGCGACGGTGGATGACGCGCGTGTACGATCCGGTCATGTTGATGATTGATTCCATCGCACTTTACCGACGGAAACTCGACGCACCCCTACCTGGCGCGTCATCTGTCGAAACATGAATTCGGCAATAATAAAAGGGGGTAGCGCACGAGACCTAGAAGTGGATGGATGCGGAGACAAAGGATTTAGACAGGTTCAGGCCCTAATACCCTACTCCTGTTTGGGGATTTGAATCCGCCGGGTGTAGTATAGATCTGACGATCTAGTTGTGTCTCATGCCCCCTAGAGGGCCTCCTGCCCACCTTATATAGGATGGGGAGCAGGATTACAAGATAGAAACCTTAACCAATACGGTATCGGTACAATATTATCAAATCAAGACTTTAGGCCGCTCCATAATATAAAAGTAAACGTAATACCCAAGTTATGATCTGTTACATATTCCATAGATATAAGCTATCCCCTAAAACTAGTCGGATAACCATGCCGTATGGGTTAGGGTACCCATAATCTCCACAGATTGTTTTGGACAGGTCCATACGGACTACCCAAGTCATTATACCAAAAAGAGTAATTTGCATGTTGTTGAACTTGCTTGCTAGCGCAATTTACTCTTTTATATAGAATGTTTAGATTTTTACCATTCCATTGCCCTCCATCACTCGTGTTTTTTTTATTTTTTTTCTAGATGCAATAGTCAATAAAAAATACATTAAAGGTATTTTCTAAGACATTAAAAAAAGCCACAACCATAGCAAACCAAGGAAAAAAAATACTATCTCTTTCCATACAATTGGTGATCCTTGAACTCGATGCCTCTTGCTCTAATCATACCACTCTTATGTCATATCTAGTTACTTAGGGTCGATTAAAATTCCAAAAAGTACCTCTACAGGAATTGAAATACCTCGAGAATATGCCTTTACATATTAGTCAAATTTTAAAGTGTTGAAAAAAACATGCATTTACAAGATAAATTTGAGAAAATATGAATAAAAATATCTCTAAAGTGTCTCTACATTAAAAATATTTTAGGCAACATTTAAAGTGTCTTTAAAAATATATACACCTATAACTCTTGATTTTACAAACTGGTTAGGTTTTCTTGTGGTGGAACCAGATCACCACTCGAGTTCAAATCCTAGACTATGGGTGCTTGTATTTTACGGCTAATTATTCCACCAGGGTACATATGTTATACAACGTGTGGGTGCTATCGATAATGCAAATGGGTGTCTATAGTATATAAATACTATCTCCGTTTTTTAATAGATGATGCCATTGATTTTTATCACACGTTTGACTATTTGTCTTATTCAAAAATTTACGTAATTATAATTTATTTTGTTGTGAGTTGTTTTATTTTAAGCATGATTTATATCTTATATATTTGCATAAAATTTTTGAATAAGACGAATGGTCAAATGTGTTCAGAAGTGAACATCGTCATCTATTAAAAAACTGAGGGAGTAACTTATGCTGATTTTCATATACGAGTGAAATCCCAGTGATGACGATTAATCTGTACATTGAGCTGTCTATTCCAAATGATACGGTACAGTAATCCTATACACCTCTACAAATCATCCCCACTATTAGTAATTCTCTGGTTCCTGTGCTTCCACGTCATCTTTTTTTCCTAGCCGTTCGATCCAATCTAATCGCTCTGCTGATCCGTCCACACGCCCGCATCCGCGTCGGTTCCTTCTCCCGCATAGTGCTCGCGCATCGCCACCCCCATCGCATCTCTCTCGTGCACCCACATCGGCTCCCTCTCCCGCATCACATCGCCACCCCACCGGCCACCGCGCATCTCTCTCGCTTAGTCGCACACCCGCATCGGCACCCTCTTCCGCATCTTGCTCCGCCGCCCCCACCACATCTCTATCGCCGCCACATCCTATCCATCTCCCGCATGGCGCTCGCCTATCCCCATCGCGTGCATCGCCGTTGCATTCTCTCCATCTCACTCAACGCGCTCCCCCGTACCGGCGCCAGCATGTTGTCCGCCTCCGTGCCGCATGGGCTCCGCTTCGTCTCCCCCTCCTAGCGTCGGCCGGTTCGCCTTCCCCGCCCAATCGATACGCCCATGCACCTAGCCCCGCGATCCCCTGGCATTCAACCATCAGCCACCCACATTGTCTCTCGTAAATGCAATCCAATCCAAATCAATTATTTCATCCAGTTCGTTTCCCTCTCTTCAAACTGTCGCCCCATGTCTTCACTCCAAGAAAATGCCTGCATCTAATGCGGCAGCTATAGCCTTCTTAAATCAGGAGGTTCTTTTCTTGCCGTAAGTATTTCTATTGGGTCGACTCTGATCTGAGTGACGGATGCCACAGGCAATTTGTGTTCTTGTTTCCTGGAGTATCTTCAGTCCCTGGATATATCGATCAAAATTGAGGAGTTTCTCTCCGTCCGTTGCTCCCGCTGCTGCAGAAACGAGTGAATCTGTTCCGAGGTAAATTTCTCCAACCAATATGTGCCTCTGATTGATAAAATGCCTACACATATACTGCATTTGAGGTAGACAGGTAGCATCAGCCATCAGGTGATCTTCAGCAAACGACTTTTGAATGAGTTGTCCAATGATGTAGCCTACGGAACCACGTTAAGCCATTAAGGTAACAGATGATGTGAGCAATGTTATCTCTCCCTAAATCAGTTTTCATGCATCATTCTAGGGTGGGGGATATTTACCAATAGTTCCTTTGCAACATAAAGCCTCAGGATTATAAGTTTTAGTCTGTATACTCCTACGTTGCTACTAATATTTGATGCAAAATATAGTATGATTCAGCACAACAATTTTTTTCTATCGTAATATGTATTTATGTGCATCTATCAAACTTGTGCTACATGACAAATTAATAGCTTTTTATTTTCTGTCTGTGTGCTATTTGACTAGGTCTGAGGCAACTGTTCAATTTTCAAGATGCATTTTTTGCATATTACACATGGATGCACAATTGCACACTATTCACAAAGGTGACAATATTTTCCGGCTTTTACACTTATTTTCGTTCATGCTTCCAATAAGTGTTAAGAAAAGAACCATATGTACTACTTCAGTTGCTGTTTGATTCCAAATATTTATCATCGAAACAACATTCTCTCCCATAAAATTTTTAGCCTGCAGAAGCAGAACTCCAATGCTAATCTTCCTAATCTTCTCATTTTTAACTCATGAAACGTAAACAACCTACCAACAGGTTCTTCGGTTTCTCCTTCTAATTACTATCTAAACTAAACTTATAGGGCCATCATGTTCTGCCTGTCCCTAACACAACAGTTGGACTACCACATCTGGAAGGTCCTAACCATACCACCTCTTATTTATTGCCATTTTTGTTGGATTTACATAAGAAAATCATCACAAACATAGTACTCCTAAGGCACAATAATTTCTTTTCTTTTCATATGTAAGTTGTTACAGTTTCTCATAATTACTATACCAGTTTATTTAACTATTACAATGTTCCGCAGCAACGCGGCGGAGTATCATCTAGTTCAGCATACGAAAATGATCAGGTAATCAGCAATTAATGACGTCTACACATCTAAGATAAGTTTTTGGTTCAAATCTAAAATGCAAACGTACGTTAAAAGGATTTTGTGATCACAAATTAAAGTCGCTCATGTGATTTTCTTAGGAAATATTGGTCCACGCATTACGGAGCAAAAATGAACAAACAAATTTTGCTTTGATCCATACATACCAGTAGCTAGATCTAGGAATCCTAGACTACTGGGACAATCTAAAGCGTCCAATTGGGGGAGGCTCTACCTGCTACAACTTCTTCCAGAATCAGAATCCTACACTACTGGGACAATCTAAAGCGTCTAATTGGGGGAGGCTCTACCTGCTACAACTTCTCCCAGAATCAGAAGCTCCCAAAACAGTTCAGTTTTTGGTCTAGATTTTGAAAAGCTGTATAGTTGTAGAATCTAGAAAATGAACTAGAAGCTAGAAGCTGAGAAACCCAGCTTTTCCATATTCTCAAAAGCTGAATATCAACTAGCTAGTTCTTAGAATTTTAAGCTTCCCAAACAGGTCCTAATCGTACAAATCTGTAACTCCTGTTGTTCCATAATTCTTAACGTTTTATACCATGATACAATTTTTAAAGGGAAGTCCGAATTACATCCTTGAACTATTTGGTAAGTACGAATTACCGCGCTAGACCCGAAAATAAGATATTTTTCACCCTCAACTATCAATACTGGATAAAAATAAATCCCCCGAGCAGCTTTGCAAGCGTATTGATCCTACGTGGCAGTCCAGTCAGCAATTCTTTTATTAAAAATAAGATGGGCCCATCTGTCAGATATCTCTATGTCCCTCTCACCCCCTCTCTCTCTCTCGCGTCAGAGCCCGGAGGAGTCCCGCACACCTGTGGCGTAGGCGAGACGCGCGCTGGCGGCAGCAGAGATGGCGGCTATGGGCGCCCTCTCCATCGCCCCGAGCTCTGCCTACCGCCGTCCTCGGCTCGCTTTGCAGCCCTCTCCACCAACCCGAGCGCCGGTGGCTACGAGCAGCCCTCGACGAGCTGCGCGTCGGCAACTGCTGGCCTCCCGAGCTCCGTGGCCTCGAGCTGACCTGAGTGCCGGTGGCTGCGGGAATCCCTTTCGCCGCCCCCAACAAGTCGCAAGTCACATGCCTGCGACCATGGACGCGCCGAGTTGCATGCCGCTGCTGTCCTTGAGGTGATTGAGGGGGAAGAGAGAGAGAGAGAGAGAGTAGAGAGAGATAGAGAGGTGAGGGGGAAGAAAGAGGGTGAGAGATTGATAGGTGGGGCTCATTGATTAAAAAAAGATCGCTGACTGGTCTGCCACATAGGACCACAACCAGTCCGGTTTGAGTCCGGGGGTAATTTATCTGGCTAATAGTTGAGGGTGAAAGATATATGGTTTTCCAGTTTGAGGGGGTAATTCATATTGACCCAATATCTCAAGGGTGTAATTCAGGATTTTCCCTTTATAAAATATGTGTTTCACTATGTATTTCTATTATAATATATACAATAAATAAATACATTTTACTTTATTATAGTATTTTGCAAGACAAATATATATGTTGTTCTAGTGCCCTTAAACTGAATATTTATAAAGTTATCGATACTCAAAGATATAAAAGTTTGATCTAAAACTTGTCTAAGACATCAAAAATTTTAAAACCGGAGAGTTTTAAGGTCAAACAACATGACATAATTTATTTTACAAGAGAATATATGATGAACCCTGAGTTCCACTCGTGACACTCAAGGCTGTTGTTTGGCCTGACTTTTCGGTGAGTTGGTGATAACTATGATTTGGGAGAAACGTTGACGATCCGACTGCAACCGTACGAGACGTTGTGTTGCGCCTTAGCGATCGATACACCTCTCCATGGGTTATTGATCTTGCCGGTGTAGATAAACCCTACTTCTGCAAGCAAATAAAAGAAACAAGCAATAACAAGATAAAAGCAATCTGATATTGCAAATAGGAATTTAATACAAATGATAAGTTGGGGTTCCGAAGAACAAGCAGACGGACGGTCTAGCCGACACGCGCGCTGCAAGCAAGTAGCAATGGCTAAACTTTAATCTATCAAAACCCAAGAAACTGTAAAGGGGTACGTAACTATTTATAAAGGTGTGAGGACGAACAAGTGGACTCTAGGGTCATGCTCCACCTGGTTGGGGCACACCCCACATGGGCCCCACTTGGGCCGGTGTCCCAAACGAAGTTACAAGCCCAAATGCCCATGACAGGTAACACAACACCTTGTTTTTGTGTTTGCGGCCAAACGAGATGGAGTCTGGTGATGAGGCCAGATCCGTTGGAAAGAGGACTCCGAGAGCTTTCCATCAAGTACTCGTGGGCCAAAAACGGAGGTCGTATGCAGATTCGGTAGCCGTTTGAAGTCAGCAGTGTAGCAGGTGGCCGAATCGGATTCCAGCACTTGTAGGACTTGATCTCGATATCTTCTTGTTCATCTATGATATGAGCAATGGTTCCATCCGTGGTAGCCATGGTCACATCATCCTCCCCTTCTTCACGAAAAACCGTTCTCGGTTTTTCTATATGGTGCTCTTTACGTAGTCCATTTACAACAACCTGTTTCTTCCTATCAAAACAAGGCAAACTAGAGACAATTTGGTTAGCAATAACATTTCTCTCTAACTTGCATATTTTATCCACATGTACAGGAAGTTATAAATCCGAGCAGATGTAAACCCTATGCAAAAAATATATTCCAAGATTATTATATTCGCCAAAGATGTGAAATATAACATTGGTTGGACATGGCAAATCATAGTTAGCAAATAATTTCTCCTTCAAATTATCAAGCTCATAAAAATCATCAAAGTGAACATAGCCCAAAGTATTTAAAAAAGATGTCAATTCACGTTCCTCTACTTCATTAGCAATGTGAATAACATGCTTAAAATCATCACGTAAAGAACCAACATTAGAAATAGGCGTTGATATAAGTGAAGTATTATCACACAACTCTTCTTTATCACAAGGAACAACAAACAAATCAACTTGTGACAAAGGAATCTCAACAGTTTGTTCCACTAAGGGTTGCTCTACTATAGCATGAAAAGTGGACAAATTTAGTTCATTAACAACACACTCACCTTGATTAATTTCAGCACCATTTAGTTTACCTTCGATGATCTCTTTAGATGATGAAGGTGCATCGAATTCGAGTGTGAACAATGGGATTAGCGGCTCTTTCATGTCTCTTTCCTCATTTTCATGATTATGCACTTCCTGCAAATGGTTAGTAATAGGAGGCAAAGACATAGCGTGCTTCTTTTTCATATCCTCCTCTATTTTACTTTCAGCATTGCAAGCAAGTTGTAACAAATGAGAAAGAGATCTATATTTTTCACAAGCAAGCATGTCCTGAATTTCTTTGTTATGCCCACGTAAAAACCTCAATTCTGTAGCTTCTTCGCATTCATCTAAGCCACAACGTAATAAACAAGCATGAAAATCATGATAATATGAAGTAACACTTTTGGTATTGTCGAGATTATGGGTACCCCATACCCACACGGCATGGTTATCCGACTAGCTATAGGGGATAACTTATATCTATATAATATGTAACGGATCATGACTTGGGTATTACGTTTCCCTGTATATTGTGGAACGGCCTAAAGTCCTAGTTTGATAAGATTGTAAAGTAGATTTAGGAAACCGATACCGTATTGGTTAAGGTTTCTATCTTGTAATCCTGTCCCCCATCCTATATAAGGTGGGCAGGAGGCCCTCTAGGGGCAGGAGCACATATGATCGTCAGATATATAATACACCCGGCGGATCCAAATCCCCAAACAGGAGTAGGGTATTACCTCTCATTGAGAGGGCCTGAACCTGTCTAAATCCTTTGTCTCCACATCAATCCACTTTTAGGTTTCGTGCGCTACCCCGTTTTATTATTGCCGAATTCGTGTTTCGACAGTTGGCACGCCAGGTAGGGGTGCGTCGAGTTTTCCGTCAAAGTACGATGGAATCAATTTTCAGGAGTCGCCGGCTTCGTCTTCGCCTATGTAGCGTGAGATCCTCTGCCGTCGACGCCATCTTCTGATCAAATCAATCTACAGGAAGATATCGGGTTTGTCGTTCTAATCTATCGTCTTTAGATTGAAATCTAATCACAGATTGATGCCCTGGTATTTTTCTTGTTTTCATGTCTCGACGATTTGGCTATCCGCCGCACGTCGGGGAAAGCTATCCGCTGCCAGGACGATCGACGGGATTGGCCACCGTACTGTACATCGCCATGATCTCGACCAAACCGCACATACATCTCGTCCCTGCTGGGGCTTGGCGCTCGCGTCCTCCTGGCCGGTTTCGAATCACGCGATCTGGGTCATCGCCAATAATGACCTGGCCGATGCAAACATGCATTTGTGCCGGACAAATCAAACATATCCTGGGCTTGGATGGATCGATATTTATTCGTTTGCATGTGCACTCAATTAATTTTCCGGCCACGATGTCACGACTGCGCCATCACCATCCATCTACAGAAGCATGCATGCATACCCAAATTTATACAGCATACATTGTATATATGCTTTGTATTACTAATCAAATCGATTTGGGTTTTTACTTACATATAATCGTCGTTGGCCGGCTGGCCGATTCTTCTGGCTGCTTCTACTGCCGCCGGGAGGCCTCACCATCTCAGTGCCGATTGCTTGATTAGCCCTAGCGACACGGTGCAACACCGACGACCAATTTTCTCCGTCTCGGAGTCAGTCGAAGAGATCAATCTCGGCGAGTTTTTTCCTTTTAATCTCCGACTTCACCGGGTTTTTTCCTTTTCAACTTATTGTTGTTTATTAGATTGATCTCTAAATGTCAGATTAATCTCTCTTGGTATTTTCTGCTGTTTGCATGTAACGCCGCGGCACTACTCTTGCCGAGTGGTGTTTTCGCCTGCACGGCTGGCCTATTATGCCGCCGCTGTTGGGTGTCTACAACTTCACCACCGGCCTGCTTCCGTCGCCGCCGACTGGTGTCCTCGCCTATACGGTTGGTTGGTCACACCACCGTTCATGGGCGTTCACGTCTTCACCGACCAGCTGGCCTTCGTCGCCGCCGACTGGTGTTTTCGCCTGCACGGCTGGTCTATTAAGCCGCCGCTGTTGGGCGTCTACGACTTCACCACCGGCCTGCCTCCGTCGCCGCCAACTGGTGTCCTCGCCTATACGGTTGGTTGGTCACACCACCGTTCATGGGCGTCCACGCTTTCACCGACGGCTCGCCTTTGCCGCCGCCGACTGGTGTCTCCGCCTACATAGCCTGGCCTATTATGCTGCCGTTGCTGGGCGTCTACGACTTCGCAGCCGGCTTGTCTTCGCCGCCGCCGATTGGTATCTCCGCCTACACGGCTGGCCTATTATGCCGCCATTAGTGGGCATCTTCGCTTTCACCGTCGACCGCCTTCGTCGCCGCCGACTGGTGTCTTCATTGTTATTGTTGGACGACTTTGTTCCCACATTGGCCACCTCTGCCATCACCAAGGGGAATATTACAAAGCTAAGTCATCATTTATTTTATTCTTTATATGATATTTTTCCTTTTCCTCTGCCTCACTACACCAATTGGTCTTCCATTGAGTAGTGAGTCGGGGTCTACAGATGTTATATCATATTTTTTATAATATTTATCTTGATTGCTTGCGACATAATCTGAGTACAAAAGTACCTATCGAGTTATGGAGTTCTATCTTCCTATGCTTTCCGTTTGGTTTGCCAATGGATGGTTGCCTTTGGGCCGATTCCTATCACCCGGGGGCTCGTTGGATGGACCGAGTAACGCAAGGTGCTAAGTATTATTCGGAATAAATCAAAAGCATAGAGATGAGATAAATTTATTTTCTGCTCTTAATAATTGCAAAAGTACCTGAGTAGTAAATTCTGATCCGTGAAACTTTATTCCATTAATGACGAACTCATGTCACTCATATGCATGTTTGGGAAATGCCTAGGCCGACTCCCGATGCTTGGGGGCTATGACTAGTCGGACAGAGTGTTTAAACGTACAGAGTCATCTGCTCGGGGAAATCAAAATTGACAAGAGGAGAAATACATATTTATAAATATTTTAAAATACTTGATTTTTTCTCGAGTATTATATTTATATCAGATACTACTCATCCTATATGTTTGTTCTGCAGGATCCAGATCCAGATATGCACAAAAGGGATTCATGGCTTTAAGCTTATCTCTTACGCTCCAGGAATGGATCAGTCAGAACATCACCACCGGCTTGCCGTCATCGTCGCCGACTGGTGTCTTCGCCTATACGGTTGTTTGGTCACACCACCGTTGTTGGGCGTCTACGTCTTCACCGACCGGCCGTCTCGTCCGCCGCCGACTGGTGTTTCCGCCTACACGGCTGGCCTATTATGCCGCCGTTGTTGGGCGTCTACGTCTTCACCGACCGGCCGCCTCGTCCGCCGCCGACTGGTGTTTCCGCCTGCACGGCTGGCCTATTATGCCGCCGTTGTTGGGCGTCTACGTCTTCACCGACCGGCCGCCTCGTCCGCCGCCGACTGGTGTCACTGCCTGCACGGCTGGCCTGTTATGACGCCAACTGATGCTATCTTCTTCACAGCTGGCTACATCACCGTCACCGCTAATAGGCATCATCATCTTCAACGCAAGCTGTCTACGTCTGCTGCTGACTAGTGCCCTCACCTCTACGTCTGGTTTAGACAGCTACCACTACTGATGAACATCATCGTCTTCCGTCGCCGACTGGTTATGCCGTCGCCGACTGGTGCTTTTATCTTCACAACTGCGCGTCTTCACTACCAGTTTGCTTCTGTTGCCGCCGACTCGTGTTCACTTCATCACGGCAATGCAACTTTGTCATCACGGTAGAGCGACTTCATCTTTATTATCTTCGGCACTGGCAAACTCTATTGCTGCTACTTCGCAAGTTTTGCTACTTCACCAACCATGACGTCTTTGTGAGCCTCGACATCTCGGTATGCGATGCCATGTTATTTTACTACAACAAGAGGCTCTCCAATATTCAGGATTTCTACTTGGACATCTTCAACACATATCTTCAATCAAGCAATGACTACTCGACGACAAGAAGCTATAATTCTCGACTCTATGTTCAGTTGTTTCCCAACTAACCAAAGAGTCGGGGGCTACACAAATACAAGGCTCAAAATTTGACAAATTTTATGTCAAGCTGAAGAAATCAATTAATCAACCAACGAGTCAACTCCAGGAGTCATTATCTTCATCTTTGATTCGGAGCAGACATTCTACTTCAACAACTTCAAATATTTCGGTTTGGACGAGTTGGACAACAACATCAACTCTCCTCCAAGTGAAGCATCTACAACAGCTATAACATTAATTTGATGGATTATTGTCACTGACATCATCACCAGCACCTCTGCTTCATCGGCCCTGACATCTCCGCTGTTGCTAATGGATGATTATGTTTTCGCCGACTTATTATTTCACCTTCACGGTTGACCTACTATGCAAATGCTGATGAGCGTCTTTGTCATTATCATTGGTTGCTACACTGCTATTGGCTAGATCACCGACATCGTCATCTTCATCATGTCAGTTGCGTTTGTCGTCGTCAACTATTTTCTTCATCTTCATGATTGATGGATTTCGTCATTGCCTTTGATACGTGTCTATATCTTCACCGTCGGCTTGCTTTCGTCACCACCGACTGGTATCCTCGCCTTCACGGATGGCTTATTATGTCGCCACTAATGGGCATCTTCATCTTCTTCACCGGCTGCCTCATCTGTCACCGACTGATTATTTCGCCACCATGGCTGCTCAATTTTGTCGATGTTGCTAGACGCCTTCATCTTCACTGTTGGCTAACTTGTCTGCTGCCGACTGGTTTCTTCGCCTCCATGGCTATGCGACTTCATTACTTTTGATTGCTACCATCAATGAACAATTGTGACTATGACAGAAGGACAAGCTATATGCTCAGGGGCTTACTAGATCAAACACAAGTATCATACCTTCAATTTGGAGTTGTTCCGGATACATGCAACATGAATTCATGATCATGGGTCTATTTTCTATACTTAAAGACTGGACTATTTATTATTCCCCGTAAGGGTTATCAACCGAATAGTTGTGCCAGTCGGGATTCAATTTTTATATCTATTTTGGAGTATCCCATAAGGGATAATCAATCAGATCAGAAGCTATTCATATGAGCTACACTTGGTCTATATCACCCGGAAGATCTATTACTCGGGAGCATGTTACATGCGTCATCCTTTAAAGGGTGTCGAAGGCATATTTTTTGGCCTAGGCCTAATATGTCTGCAGCCCATATTTTCAGGTGTGGCCTGTCACGTTCTTTTAGGGACTCAGGCACTTTTTGCTTAGGCCAAAGTGCGCGTGATCAAGTGCCCAATACCTTAAAACCCTTTTATACCGCAGTTACTCAACTTTTTAGGAGTTGGTACAATGCATCTTAAAAGGTGTCAAACAGTAAAGCTTTATATAGCTGCTCCGCTGACTTTTTTATATAGTCATGACGCTATTTGAGTTTATCAAGCAATTGATTGGATACAATATCATTGCTTTTTGCCCCGTAAGTGTGCATTTTTATTGACCAATATTATGGCTTAGGCTGATTATTCATTGTGGTCATTTTCTAGGCGGCTGGTAAATCCTTTATGAGTTTATTTACTCGGATTTTACACCACATATGCCATATATTTCCAATTGTGGTGAAACCATGTGTCTTTTAGGGACTTAAGCACATCTGTTAAAGTAGTGTGCGCGTGGCGTATGCCCAATACTTCGGAAATTTCTTTATTCGCAGCATTCAAGCTTCTTTATAGCTGTTTTTCAATGATGTAGTCAACTTTAGGTTGCTCGCATCAATTTTTACAAAGCAGTCGGTATATCACTTGGATCATGTTATTCGGGGATTCACACCGCATATGTTATATATTGATATCAAGTCACTTGGTCGATTACAATTATCAAAACCACTCGGTTGGTTGGATTATTTATTCCTTGACTATATGCTTAGTTTGTTCAGCTAACCACATAGTCGGGGGCTACACCTATTAGGTGCATCTAGTCGATGCACCTGACTTTATTTTTCAGCCCTCCACAGTCTTCAGATTTGATAAAAGTACTCGGGAGACCATGGCGAAGATGATTGAAGCACTCGGCTTTGGAGTAATCTAGTTCGAGAGAAGATTATCTTTTCGACTGTGAAGGTCTCAGGGGCTACTGTGGAGATTATGGGTACCCCATACCCACGCGGCATGGTTATCCGACTAGCTATAGGGGATAACTTATATCTATAGAATATGTAACGGATCATTACTTGGGTATTACGTTTCCCTGTATATTATGGAACGGCCTAAAGTCCTGGTTTGATAAGATTGTAAAGTAGATTTAGGAAACCGATACCGTATTGGTTAAGGTTTCTATCTTGTAATCCTATCCCCCATCCTATATAAGGTGGGCAGGAGACCCTCTAGGGGGCAGGAGCACATATGATCGTCAGATCTATAATACACCCGGCGGATCCAAATCCCCAAACAGGAGTAGGGTATTACCTCTCATTGAGAGGGCCTGAACCTGTCTAAATCCTTTGTCTCCACATCCATCCACTTTTAGGTTTCGTACGCTACCCCGTTTTATTATTGCCGAATTCATGTTTCGACAGGTATCTTGTTTTAAACATTGCAGTTTGATGAGCAGAATATCAGCATAATACATGGGAACATAAACATCTCTAAAATATCATTTCAGGTCTTTCCAAGATTGTGGTATTTTGTTATGCCTATAAAGATGTTTTCCAATCATTTGAAGCATGTTTAATTAAAACACTAGAGGCACACATAACCTTTTGTTTCTCAGACAAGACATGCTTTTGAAATTCTCTATTGATCTTAGTTAGAACATCATCGCGTACCTCATTAGCATCATGTTGATCACTCGTTATGTCTCGACGAAGATGTCGATGTCAAGCTATGTTATCTCCAATGATCTTGCATATCCATGTCATTGTTAGTAGCAAACAAGAAACATACACAAGAATATGCACGCTCCTATCAACTACTAGGTAGTGGCAGCTGAAGTATTACACACACTCAAGCTTTTCACCAAGCTCTTACAAGTTCTTACCAAAGCAAGCGGAATGGTGATGTACACCGCCTCAACCAAGCACCCCAATGGAGGTTGGATGTATCGATGCCTTGGCAAACACTTGCTGTATGACTGCAATTAAATCTGTGGAGCTCTGGGTAGGCTTAAATATGTAGTAAAGGAATAGCAAATACTCAAATCAGAGAATGCAAAGTTGAATAATTGTTCAAAGTCAAGTACCATGCTGGTCCTAGGGTATAACGTACTAGAAACGCGAGCCTAGACACAAACGATACCACAGGATAGCACTAGAAACAACTTAGGCACACTCTGATATGTGAAAGCAAACTCAAAGATAGAACTGATTTTTCTCTTTTCTTTCTTTTTTCTATCTTTTTTTACTTTCTTTTCTTTTTCTTTTCGGTGCGGCTTTTGTTTTCTTTCTTTTTAGCACCTTTCTGCCTTTTTTTCTTTTTTTTTATTTTTTTTCAGCAAAAATCAACTCAAGGACCTTAATTCAAGATTACAGGGACTCAAACGTAAATATAAAAATTACAGGGACTGATATACAAAAGTGAAAACCCAAAATTATAACTATAAAAAATGGAATGCTCTTGTCCCATAGGTTCCGTTTTTGCAAACAGATTTCCAATCCGATACTCCAAAATTTTTCAGCAAGCTGTGTCAGGGATGTCATGGAGTAGGTTTGAAACCGAGAGAGGAGAGGGAGTCGTACTCTCTAGTCACGGTGGTGGTGGGTACAGTAGGTGGGATGGTTCAGCCTAGATGGAAACAGAATAGGTGGAAATCTGGAAACCAATACCAATCAAACAAAAACTTTCCCCTTCCTCCTTCGTGACGTATGGAAACCGAATCCAATCTACAAAAATCTCTCAACCTTCTTTCTTGCTAGCACACACATGCACGGCAAAAAAACAGACGTAGTATTTGCAAACACTAGATGCAACTCAACAACAAAATGAACCGACATAAACTTATGAAAACTACAAAAATGGAACCCTGGCGGAAAGACGATTCCGTTTTCGTAGGTGCCGATGACAACCATGACACGGCGGCGACGACGACTGTGGTATAAAACGTGACCAGAACTCGAAACTCTAAACGAACTAGACGCTAAGGCTAGCGACTACGACTCGACGATGCAACAGAATACTCAACAAAGCAAAAACTGAAATGGACAATGCAATGGCACAAATATGGCTAGGTACAGGATACAATATTTTTTTGTATTGCAATTTTCTGGTTATAGGTTGATAGAAACTCACCGAGCAACGAAAGCTCTCCGTGGGTTGTTGATCTTGCTGGTGCAGATCAACCCTATTTCTGCAAGCAAATCAAAGAAACAAACAAGAACAAGAAAAAGCAATATGATATTGTAAATAGGAATTTAATACAAATGTTAAGTTGGGGTTCTGAAGAACAAGCAGACGGACGGTCTAGTCGACACGCGCGATGCAAGCAAGTAGCAATGGCTAAACTTTAATCTATCAAAACCCAATAAACTCTAAAGGGGTACCTAACTATTTATAAAGGTGTGAGGATAACCAAGTGGACTCTAGGGTCGTGCTCCACCTGGTTGGGCGCACCCCACATGGGCCCCACTTGGGCCGGGGTCCCAAACGAAGTTACAAGACCAAAGGCCCATGACAGGTGACGCAACACCTTATTTTTGTGTTTGCGGCCAAACAAGATGGAGTCTGGTGATGAGGCCGGATCCGTTGGAAAGAGGACTCCGAGAGTTTTCAATCAAGTACTCGTGGGCCAAAAACGGAGGTCGTATGCAGATTTGGTAGCCGTTTGAAGTCAGCAGTGTAGCAGGTGGCCGAATCGGATTCCAGCACTTGTAGGATTTGATCTCGATATCTTCTTGTTCATCCATGATGTGAGCAATGGTTGCATCCGTGGTAGCCATGGTCACATCATCCTCCTCTTCTTCACGGAAAACCGTCCTATTTGTTATGTCTGTTTCTATACAACAGAAGCCATGATATCATGCTCTTAATTCAAGCCTGAATTTGTTAGGACACATTATTGACATATAACCACATAAATAAATTTGAAGTCAATATAATCTTTTTGTCTCCCCATTTCAAGGTCCAACAAATGCCGAGATTTTACTCATTTGATTGTGGTCTGCATACTGGACTACTGGTAGTATGCCTGAGTGGTTATGTTGATGACTGCTAAGAGAATAACAAGTCAATATCTTGCTTTGATGCCTTTTTGTGCATTTCTGATTAAGCTAAAAATAACTATTTACTCATAATAATGGTTATTTTTATTGTTACAACTTACATTACATGATGATATGTTTTATAAATTTTGGGTAAATAGGTTGTGCTAGGAAGATGTAGTTTCTAAATTTTTTGGTGTAATTATGTATTCCAGTGATATATTTTGTGGAAAACGTGCATTGCATGATTACTAGTTTCAAATAAGTTCAAACAATACTATCAATTATGATTTTTGACACCTTACAGTGATATGAAGGACAAACGCTCACACCGACCAATAAGAAAATGCACATTTTTAATTTAGAATATTCCACTAGTACATAATTCATTTTTCCGTGTGGTCAAAATCCATTTTTTCATGCGGAGGTAGCACCCGTCTGCACCCAAGGGTCTGTGAAAATCAATATTTTCACGTGCGGGCGGCCCAACTGCACGGGATAATCGATTATCCCATGCAGTCAAATTATACCACCCGTACGGAAAAAAAATAAAATTGAAAAAATCCCGTCGTCGTCGCCGTGGTCGCGCAGCCGCCGCTCCCCGCCGCCGCCACTCGTGGTCGACATCGTCCTGATCGTCCTCTTTGGAGATTGAAGATTTTTATGCTACAAGGGAAATTCGTCTTAAAGTGGAGATGGTTAAATATGTGATCCGAATTTTAGGCCTACTATATATTTGGGTTAGTTTTCTAATAGGACTTTGCATTATAGGATTAGTTTCCTATTAGGACTTCGAGTCTTTGCCCATAAGGACTCCTATTTTTCTCCTATATATATATTTATATATTCCTTGTAAGCCGCATGGGGAGGGTGCGACAGCCTAATATATCTCTTGCATTTGTATCCAACTCCTCTACACTGATCATGGTCGGTCGGCGTCCGTGGTTTTTTCCCGTAAGGGTTTTCCATGTAAAATTCGTTTCTCCGTTGTGCATCTATTTACATAACACAAATAAATTGATAAACACGGTGAAGCGGTATATATGCAGTTGCATATCTCCTATAGTTGTAAAATTATGATGGCATCGTTACAAAATAGATAAACCGTAAAGATATTTTTTGAAACTCAACAATTTATGATGGCATGATCCCATTAACCCTATAAATTAAAGAGTATAGGCCAAAACAAAAGTACTCCCTCTATTCCAAAGTACTCGGACACTCGCATCAGAAAAAAACTTTAGTAAAGAAAATACCAAAGTAGTCCTCGAAATAATATTGGTGGATATGTATGTAAATGACATTGAAATGTTAAAACTTCTAAATTTATGGAACGAGTCTAAGTAAATGAACTTATTTTGGAATGGATGGGGTGTAACTTATACATGTTATGAGCAATTTATTATGAAACAATCACATGTTATAAAATTTATCGTCTGTGTTGTTCTCTTCGAATTCTCACAACAACATACGCGCCATGCGCCATGAAGTCACGATAGATAAAATGTCAATCATATCTACCAAATAGAATAATAAATACCATCAACATCTTTGATGTAGGACTTGGGATTCATTCCCATTAGTGTGAAACAAATATATTTACTTCATCTCTAGGTGATGATCATTGGCCAGTAAGGTTGAAGGCGTGGTGAGGTAGATCTGTGATGTGTACATGCAGTGCATGCAGTGTCTCTCTCAAGCTCCATTACATGTTGACAGTTATGTATAACTCATCCGGAAAAAATAATAATATACTCCCTCCGTATTTTAATGTATGACGCCATTGACTTTTTAACAAACATTTGACCTTTCGTCTTATTTAAAAAATTTATGTAATTATAATTTATTTTATTGTGACTTGATTTATCATCAAATATTCTTTAAGCATGACATAAGTATTTTTATATTTGCATAAAAATTTTGAATAAGACGAGTGGTCAAACGTTGGTTAAAAAGTCAACGGCGTCATACAATATTAAAATATGGAGGGAGTATATAGTAGTAGCTACGTTGTAACAATCGCGCAAGCTATTGTCTCATAAAACCAGGAATCTAGTGTTGATACTATAATTTAATGAAACGAGCAACACATGTCCATAAAAAAAGTGGTATAAATTGTGCAAATCATCTGAACAGGGGACGGACGGCCCCAGCTTAATGTTTCTCCCAATTTCTTTTTTTTTCTTAATTTCCTAGTACTAAGTTTTGTCTGTCTCTACTCATACACCATACAGCTATAAATGGATCATGTGCCACACACAAAAGCTTCACACAACAAGCCAGACAGATCAATAGTAGCATTCATAGTACCACAGCTATCTAGCTAGCTGATATCTTGAGTTATCCCAAGTGATGGCCAAGGCTGAAGTTGGCCATAGGGTTTGTGTTACAGGAGCAGGAGGATTTGTTGGTTCTTGGGTAGTGAAGGAGCTCCTTCACCGTGGCTATGTTGTGAGAGGAACTGCAAGAGACCCCTGTGAGACTCTTGTGTAGCTATATCATCACAAACTTTACATCTACGCTCTAAGTACAACCTGTGTTAAATATATATTGTTTGAAACTATTTTAATTTCAACAAGATCATTGCCAAGTTATGCTAGTTGATTATATATGGTTTGACAATTAATTAATTAATTGCTACCGTGTATCTATATATGCCTGATAATTTGCATTTTGTTGTTGTGAAGCTGCTCAGAAGTACCCCCATTTGCAAACACTTGAAGGAGCAGCAGAGAGGCTATCTCTGTGCTACGCTAATGTCATGGACTACAACAGTCTCCGAGTTGCATTTGATGGATGTGATGGGGTCTTTCATGTTGCATCACCAGTATCCAATGATCCAGTGAGTGGACAATATATAGGTGTCGTTTTTTAAAAAAACCGACACAAAATATAATAGGTGCCGGTTTTTATTTAGAACCAACACCTATAAATACTTAAAGGTGCCGGTTTTTTACGATTTTAACCCGCGGAGGTGAAAAAATGCCTATAGGAGGTGCCGATTTTAGCACTATCGGCACATATAGGGGCAACAACTATTTGATGTTTTGTAGTAGTAAATTTCCTTTTCAGCGTCATCTTTTATAATCACTCTATTCCAAAATATAAAAATTTTATGTGTTTTTCAAGATATATCTAATTAAGATAGAGGGATGTCTAGATATATTTTGAAAAACACGCAAAAAAAAAACCATATATTTTCAAATGGATGGAGTAATATTTATGAAATCATATGAAATATAAAAAATATGACTATATGACAGCATTTTTTCATGGCAAATATGCAAAAAATCATTCGCATATATTAAGCTGAAAATCAAACGGTGTATATTAAGCTTCAATTTCGCAATATATCGAAAACCAAATATCTTGAAACAAGCATTCATTCGCATAGAAAGCTTAAATTTCAAAGTATATATCACATGGAAAGCTTAAATTTCAAGATTTGATGAATGCTTGTTTCCTAGAATGGTAAATATATAAAGAGTGGAGTAGAACGTACATCTTTCATTAAAAAAAAAATCTAATGCTAACTATAAACCTGAAAAGGTGCTTGTATTGATTTAATTATGCTTATGATTGGGTTTCTTTATAATACATGCTTGGAGATAAGTTTTTATTTTATCTTCCCCTTTACCTCCTAAATGCATATAAACTGCTCAAATACAGATGACACACAATACATGGTACATATACATATTTTTCTGTTGAAGCACCGGTTAAATAAATTTTGTTAGCATGGAAATTAGTCAACCAACTAATTAATAATATGAATCGACAACTAAAATGCAGCAATTTGTACCTGTTGCCGTTGAGGGAACCAAGAATGTGATCAACGCTGCAGCAGACGTGGGTGCAGGTCGTGTGGTCTTCACGTCTTCCTACGGTGCTGTACACATGGACCCAAATAGAAGCCTCGACACAGTTATGGACGAGAGCTGTTGGAGCAACCTTGACTTCTGCAAACGAAAAGGGGTAATAAATTTCGAAAACGCAAAATGCCATACATATGTTTATTCTACAACTAATTGTTATAAATGAATGCCCTATTCCTAGAAGTGTTATAGTTTTGTTCCACCAAATAATTCTTTCTTCATTACAATTTCATACCACCGAGAAACCTCCTCCATTTTTTTTACTGAACACTAATTTTGTGACGCCATCATATCCTCCTCGTCCATGTCCCGGCAAATCTTTGTCCATGGCTCACCGTACTTGTCTAACAGGAACAGTGGACAGCTTAGCTGGTAAGGAGCAACCAAGAGGCAAGAGCAAGCCATCTGCCTATTCTAAGGGTATGTTTAGTTCATACCAAAATTAGAAGTTTGATTGAAATTAGAACGATGTGATGGAAAAGTTGAAAGTTTGTGTGCGTATAAAAGTTTTGATGTGATGGAAAATTTAGAAGTTTGAAGAAAAAGTTGAGAGCTAAACCAGGCCTAAGTCGGTCTCATCACAAGTTATGTCAGCATTTTCTCAATATCAATAATTGATACTCCTTTCATATTTTAATGTATGACGCCGTTGATTTTTTGATAAACGTTTGACCTTTCGCCTTATTCAAAAAATTTATATAATTATCATTTATTTTATTGTTACTTGATTTATCATCAAATGTTCTTTAAGCATGATATAAGTATTTTTATATTCGCATAAAAAATTTGAATAAGACGAATGGTCAAACATTGGTTAAAAAGTCAACGACATCATACATTAAAATACGGAGGGAGTACTAAAAATCTTATTAATTAGTGTCACATTTTTCGTTTCAAAAAAAAATATACATGTCTAACGAGAACGTTGGATAGCTCATTTGGTAGGGAGCTACTAAGAGCAAGCCATTGGTCTAGCCTCAAGTGCTTCTCACCACAAGTTATCTCAGTAATTTCTTCTATATCAATAATTGATGGTGAAGCTCTTGTTAGTATCACACATATTTTTCGTGAGTAAATTCCCTGGGTACCCTTTGAAAACTCACTCAATCCCTTTTATACCTTTGAAATTTACCGGTTCCCTTCTATACCCCTGAAATTTCAACTTCATCCCTTCCATGCCCCTGTCGTTACATTTTCCTTCATTTCACCGTTAAGTTTGGTGGCAAATGTCTTTAATGCCCTTGATGATTTAGCTTTGAATATAAACTTGAAAAACAATTGAAAATTTTGTTTGAGTACTATGTGCATTTCATGTGACTAATGAGACTAAATAATTAGTTCAGAAAATTTTGTCATAAATTTTGAAAATAAAAAATGTAATAATTTTTTTTTGAAATCTAATAGGATAATAGATTTTTTTATCGGGAGCATTATTAAAAAAAACCATGAGCATTGGTAGTCCTATCTTTCTATGAATGCTCCTCATTTTTATGACTTTCAAAAAATAAAAAAAATATAATTTTTTATTTCATTATCTTAATTTTTTTCATAAATAATGTACCGTAGCAATCATAACTATTAATAATTTCATTTCATGTGACAAGCTTTTATATTTTCTATAATGTAATTCATAAATTTATATGCTCATTCAATGGGTAAAATGGTCATTTCTATAAAAATTAGACGGTCAACTGACGGGAGGGGTGTGAGACGGAACAAAATCAAATTTTAGGGGTATACAAGGAAGTAAACAAGATTTAGAGGAATAAAAAGGATTAGTTAAATTTTCAGGGGTATACAATAGATTCTCTCATTTATCATTTCAAAAAAGTACGTGTCTAGCTAACATCCTCCACAGGGCTCAGTGCACCAATTTTCCACGCACATCTCGAGGTTGTTCAGATTGTAGCTAAAACAAACCTTACCAAATTTTGACATTGCCAAAATTTTAACAAGTCGGCAATATTACCAAAATTTTAGCCTAATTTCTTATGTATTTACCAAAGTTTGACTTTTTTTTGACAACTTTATGAAAAAATAGTATGGTTGAAAATGCATATCCGAACAGCCCCCTCGTCTTTGTCCTCCGCGTCGTTGTTCCTCCTGCGTGTGCAGCTCATCCATTGTGGCTTGCAGCTGGGCTTCAATGCCAGCAACCCCACTAGCGGCTGATTGTTTTTTTGTTTTTGTTTTTCTTCTTTAAGAAAGGGAGGACACAATGTCACAACCTCCCCCATTTCCAGTAGAGAAATGGAAGCATTACAGAGTTTAACTTCCTCTAGCTCTGTCTCGGTTATCAGAATGGTGCCATATCCCTCCATTTTGACATCAGAGCAGCTAACTCAAACTAGAGAAACACAACATACATAAAGAAATTGGAAAAAAGAAGATAGCGCGCCATGGCTATTTGTTGGGCATCAACATCATCCCGTCACATCAAAGTGTCGAAACTAGATTTCGGCAATAATAAAAGGGGGTGGCTATCAAGCTGGAGAAGTGAATGGGTTTGGAGACCAAGGATTTATACAGGTTCAGGCCTTCTTATTCAAGAAGTAATACCCTACTCCTGTCCGGGGATGAATCCGCCGAGTATCTTATTGATTGTATGATTTGGAGAAAATCAACAACGCATATATGCCCCTAGAGGCACCCGGACCCCCTTATATATGGGAAGGAGTCCGTGTTACAAAAGATAATCTATATCCCTAACGGAATATGCAGATACAGATAAAATACAGTCGTAACCGACTAAGTCTCAAGGTATTTCCTTGATGTGCAAGTTGAGAAACAAACCCAAGATACAAATAAGATATTCTATCTATATTCGGTATCCTATATTCAGTCCAAATATCATCGCCGTGTAGATATAGGATATCCATAATCTCCACAGTAGCCCCCGAGACCTTTGCAGTCAACCATCATAGCCTTCTCAAGGATAATAATCCGAGTGCTTCAAACTTTTCATGCCAAGGCCTGCCGAGTAGCGAAGACGAAGACTGTAAAGGGCGAAAAGATAAAGAATATGGTGCATCGAATAGATGCACCTAATTAGGTGTAGCCCCCAACTATGTGATTAGTTAACAAACTAAACATATAGTTAAGAATAAAATAATAGCACAATCGTGCATCATACGACAAAAGCATACACGGCGCCTAAAGAGGCATTCTCAGCCGACTGCTTTTTAGCCATAATTAAAAGGAATCCGAGTGGTTAACACTCTAAAAGGTTCACGAATGAACACACTTGACAGGCATCCGAATAAAAAGCTCTAAAGATTACCCACCAAATATTATAAAAAATTATGGTAATGAATAAGTCTAATAGCCTAGGCTATGACTATTTACCATAATGAAAACAGGCATATAACATACCAAGGAAATGACTATGGTAAAAACAAGTCATTCCAAGTTAACCCAGACAGCTTTCGTAGCCTAAAAAAGCTTACAAAAACAGCATAACACCTTTCTGTCGGGCACCTTTTAATTTGCATTGCAATAATTCCAAAGAATTATATGACCGCGTAAAAAGGATTTTATCAGCATTGGGCAACACTATTGTGCGCATAAATTGCCAAAGCAAAAAATGCCTAAGTCCCTAAGGAGCACAATGGGCCACGCTGTTAAAAGTACTGGGCTGAAGTACTGTTCAGGCCTAAGCCCATTCGCACCTCCGACACCCTTAACAAGAAATCCCGAGATCCAAGCGACACTTCATCTTCCCCGCCGGAACTCTCGCCATTTTCCCCACTCCCTGCTACAGTACAGAGCTGCGCCGGCAAACTAGGGTTCACCATTCCACTCGAATCCACCTTCAAAAAGTTCATCAAAATCCTTCCCGTGATCCACCGCCTCAATCCTTCACCTCTCCCTAGCCATCCCTCGAATCAAATCAGCGCATTCGGAAAAAATCAATGGCGGAAGAGAAGGAAAGCTTTGAAGGCCAATGGGCGCCATCCGACGTGACGGAGGAGAACCTGAAGGAGATGGTGGCGCACGGCGTTCTCCCTGCCAAGGAAATCATCGGGTGGCGGCCAGCGTGCGGTGAGGCTTTTCCGACCCCCGATACACACGAGGCTGTGGTCTTCTCCCATTTCTTCTATGGCGGCTTCGCTCTTCCGACCTCAAAATTTTTCCGCGGGATATTAAGTTTCTATGGAATCAGCTTGCATCACCTAAACCCAAATTCCATAGTTCACATCGCCAATTTCATCCATGTTTGTGAAGCCTTCTTGGGAATTAAGCCCCACTTCGCTCTGTTTCGCCGAATCTTCTTTCTCAAGCCCCAACCAAACAAGAGTAAGCCATGTGTAGTCGGAGGGGCCGGATTTTAGCTGAGGGGGACTCTGAGCCAGAAGTACTTCTCTATGCCCTTCAAGACCTCAAACAAAGGGTGGCATGCAAACTGGTTTTATATTCAGAATCCTGAGCCTGCTCTTCTCGAGTACTCTTGTCTTCCTCCGGTGTACCAAGATACCTGGAACTCTCTTCCGATTGGGGATGAAGAAGCCCAAGCCTTGGAGCTGATGGATCGCATGCTAAAACTCAAAGAACAAGGCTTACAAGGAGAGCAGATTACTCGGCACTTCATCAAATGCCGATTGGCACCAATTAAAGAAAGATCCCGTACGGCATTCGAGTTTGACGGCAAGCATGATCCTAATCGTGAAGAACCAGATTCTCTGGATTTTAAAATCATGAAGGAGAGAATGTATAAAATCTTCTCAAATGCTATTGTCGTCAGCTACTCACATCAGCTGCCAGTTGTGCCATATAACGCATTCAATCCGCCTCCGCAGGTACGTATCCGAAATCTTCAACCCATGACCAAAACATAATCTTGTCTTCATGTTGAGTTAACTAACCGTGGAGGCATCTCATTCAGGAATATGTATTGATGAAGTCTGACCCCCCAATCACTCAGCGCCGGTCTCCTCGTCAGCACACCGTTCAGGGAGGTGGAGGGCCGACAATCAGATCAGATCCGCAACCTCAAACCTCCAATCCGACTGGGCAGACAGGTTCTCGCAAGAGAAAGCTGGTGCTTAATGACGACGAAGGCGACGACGGCAACAAATCTGGGGACAAAGGCTCGCCCAATAAACTCCCAAAGCATACCACTCCCAGGAAAAAACTGGCTAGTCGTCCAAGGCCAAAGATCAGAACATCTTCCAGGTATAAACCTCTCGGTACCATTTCACTTCGACATGCTTCTCTCATGGAAATAGTACTGAATATTGAAAGAACACTTTGCAGGAAACCATCCGACATAGATCCAACTGGAAAAGATCCTGATCCGACTGTGACAGAACCAAGTTCATCCAAGGATTCTGAGCCAACTGCCGAAAGCCAGCCGACTGGCGCCCATACTTCAGGTGATAAGGCCAATCCGAGTGACCAGCCTTCGACTGGAAACCAGTCGGCAGCAACTAAAACTACAACAACCCAAGAGCCCCCGACTAGAAACCATTCGGATGTAGGTCCAGATCAAGAAACTCCCGAAGTTGAAGCGCAGACGACAACTTCTCAAGGACCAGAGGCTGGTAACGACTCGATGATTGGGTCTCCAGATAAAGAACAAGGATCACCCCACGCTCAGCTAGGAACATCCTCAAGTAACTCATCTTCTCAAGTGATGCCGATTTAAATAACTTCAGCTTATTCGTCTAATATCTTGGAAATACATCAGGAC